TTGCTTGACCTTTGGAAGAGCCAGCCAAGAGGAGGTTTTTTTTCTCACCTTGAGATGCTGAACGTTCTTCAGCATGATATCCCCCACTCTCTGGAAGCTTCCCTTTTGCTGTGGGTTGTTACGACCCTCCCTGTGAACGACACAGAAACGTAAAAAATCTCCACATTTAGTAATTTTACAAAAGAAAGTCTATGAACATTACACAATCGTTAAACAACTAACCTGACGATGAACCAGTCTGTGACTGTTTAAGGACAAACTTTTCAAGAGTTTTGTTTTTGAATCATTTTGCAGGGATCAAATCATTTGTTACAGTATTTTCCATCTGTGATTCCAAAATTTCTTCACTAATTTTTTTTGAAAACTTTTTTAAAGAGTTGTAGGATTTGAAACTGATCCACTTTGTCAAGATTTCACTCGATTTAGGCCTGCAGAACAACACAATTATATCAGATCATTTTCTTTTGGATTGTATGACTTTGGTTACCATGACGTCAGTCTGGTTTCGATCTCCTTCAGGAACTTGCAGTGGAACTCATAGATGGGATCCAGACCGTTGAAGAGAGTTTCCAGGATGTCGGGCAGGGACGTCTCATTGGTCGTTGACTTGCGGAACCACTGAGCAACAAACAAAGAAGGCGAAAAAAATAGAATTAACAATTTGGTACAATTAACCCTAACCCCCAAGGGCTTGTGAAAAATCATATTAACCCTAACCACCCCAACTCCATCAAAATCCATACCCCCATTTTGGTGGATTTGGGGGGACTAAATCCAGAAGGCCGGGCGTGACTAAATATTGATGGAGTTTGATGGACTTGGGCCTAATGACCTGAAGCAGTGCTAGGGGTATCCGATTGATTTTGCCTAGCTTCCTGTACTTCTATTGTGATAAAAGCCATGTTTAGCAAGTGCTTAATGTCAACCAGTGTGTCAGTGGTGGATTCCATTACATGTATGTCATGTACAGTTTTGTACTGGAAGCACAGTGATTGATGGATTTTGATGGAATTGGTCCAGTTCCTAGTAAAAAATACTTACGACTACAATGACTTCAAGATCTTTGAGGTATGTGCGTTCTGTTGTTAGAATCTCCTTGGCTATGAAGTAAGCTCGGTCAGGTGGATGGCGCTAAGCAGAAATAAAAGAAAAAAACCCGTCAATTATCACTGGCAGGTGTAAAGGTTTTCTTAAGAAATCTTTTCAACAATAAAGGCCATTCATAAATAATGTGATTTTTAGCGCTGTGCGCGCGAGGCACATACCATAGACATTGCCAGAGAGGTGTTTCACAAAACATGAAGTAAACTTTTGGGAAATCTGTGAATTTTTGACTTGTTTCAGTTTTTGACTGAAAGATATTTAGGAATGGGAATAAATATGTCCTTGGCTGGTTTATGTACTTGCTTAAAACTGGCAACGTAAAATCGACATCTTAGGCCGTGTCTGGATTATTTATGGCTGCCAATAACACATAAGTCTATGGCAAGTGGCTGCAGCCGCTAGCCAGTGGCTTCCATTGGTGCGTGTGTTATGCGCACCTAGCCGTAGTCAGGTGATTCAGGCGCTGCTTTACCTTTTTCCGAACCCCCGAATCCTCGTCCATTGGCATTGGAGGGGCTGGTTCCTCGTTGGAGAAGTAGACGGGAACTGCTTTGGTTCCGGTAGGAGACAGGATCGGGGAATCTGAACGGGAACAGATGTTTAAAAAAATGAATTCAAAGAAAGATTCAAAACTTGGATTCTTCAAAAACTTTGATTCACAAAATGTGATAGAAAGCAGAAAATTGAAAAGTGTCCAAGATGAAACTTCAAGTATAAAAGTTGGGAAAACATGGGATTTTGTTCTGCATGGCTCATTAGAATCATTCATTTGTCGGATGAATCTGAGGGGTCAAAGGCATTCAAAAATCCTCCATTGGCGGATTCGTTAGCATTTTTATTTCATACGTGTATGTACCAAACTTCCCTTTTTCTTAAAATGACCCTCAACTTTATTACGACTTTGAGATCAAAAAGCCCCTAATGAGCATTCCTTCAGGGAAAATCGTTTCTTTCTGATTAGGAAAACTTCACAATGAGTTGGTGTCATTCTTGAAATAAAACAAAAAGTGAAAATGGTTTGTACCTCATCACTGTGTTATAACAGAAACGTTCCCACCTCCAGGCTGGCGATGACAGCACAGCAGCACCTGAACTGGAACAAACTGGTCTAAACCAGTTTAACCCAGTCTGAACTGGTCTGAAGCAGCTCCACTGAGATTGAATACGGCTGCAAGCTCATCAGCATGCAATGAACTCCGCTTATAGCAGAGCAGAAACTTTTTGGATAATTAGCCGAATTCAAGTGACAATAAAAACCTTACCATCTGGGAGTGAACTCCGGTTTGATCTACATGCAGATGTAACCAGTTTGATCCAGATGTAACCAGTTTGATCTGGTTTACGCTTGTTTTGTTTTTTAAATCCAGTTTTAACAAGGCATTTTCACTGGCATCCATGTCATCTTGTGTGCCCTTACTACTTACAATACGAATGTACAGAGAGATGTACAAAGAGACAAAGCAGATTTGTCAGAGGTTTTTCGATACGAAATAAAAAAAACTACATGAATGAAGAACAAACTTAAGAAATTATAAGGAAATAACCACGATTTAACCGAAGAGACCACTTTATTGGCTTTCCAGATGCACATCAAATCAATAACAATCAAACTTCAACCGTTAACAATCACAACTCTTCAAACCCAGCCAACTCAACCGTCTTTTCTCACACCAACAAATGCAAATCTGTTTTTAGCACAATTTAAAGTACATCTTTTTATTTCTCCAACAATTTATCTCAACAATGAAGATTTTTTTTTTGGCATGACTAATTTTAGACTTGTACATAAAATGGCCAAGAAAAGAGTACGGTACTACAGATTTAAAAACACACAATCATTGATTTGTAAAGAAAAAAAGTGCAATTACTTTTTCAAGCTAAATGCAGTTTTACTGCGGCTATACACGTGTATTACGATTTACAGTGAAAAAAATAACAACAATTTGTGCAACTCAAAAGCTTTTTCTATTTTTTTTTACATTTTGATTATTGCAGGAATGATACAGCTTTTATGGAATACTTTTCCTAACAGAATTGATTTCCATGCGGAATATACAGGAAAACGTACTCGTAGAAACTTTTCCATATGGGAAATTTTCCATGCACAGAGATTTCTCCACAAGTTTTAGACCCAAACGGGAACTTCCGTTTGATTCTTTGGAATCCACTACACATGTACCGGAAGCCATGAGGAATGTCCCTGACAAGTGGAAAATTTTCCGTGTTAAAATGTTTCCGGAAAGGATTATTTATTCCTGAAGAAAGGGAAGCACAACACTGTGTAAATATTAGCTAGTTATCAGCTGGTTACAAATTTTGTCATTTAACCCTACGGAATACAAAAACAATTCGCTCTGCCTTTTTGAGGGAATACATTTTAGATTATAGCAACTGCATGTTCAGAATCAATGCTACCGCGTGTAACCTTACATTGACTCAAAGGCACCATTTTTAGTATCTCAATCAAAATTGCTTCGTTTTGCTCATTTTCGTTTTAAGACTTTTAAACCACAAGTACCATATTTAAAGTTTGCATAATTTATGAACTCAAGTTAAAAAAAAATTGAAGTAATTTAGTTTCTCGCTTCTTTTATCACAGCACCTCAAACTTGATCCAACCACTGTCTAACTTCATTTGATAACATTCCATGAACTAAATACTTGAGTTTTAAATTGTATTTTTGAAACTACTACAGTACTGCTTCTGACTGCGAATTGTACTGAAATTATTTATCATCAGTGGTCTTTAAACTCCAAACTTTATTTCTATAAAAAAAAAAATTGTACATCTTTTTTGGAAAAATCTTTTCGCACAGAAATCAAAAGCTGTGTGAGATCGACAATTTGATACACTTGTTCTTTCTGATTTATGCACAAGCTGATTATGCACCAACTGATTGCACCGTCTTTCAAAATTATGCACGCAACAAAACTCTAAGTTAGGATTTAGAGAGAGTCGTTGGTAAACTGAATGGAAATGTCCGGGATTTCTACATTTTGTTAATGCCCATGAGGTATCAGATAAGTTTAAAAACAACTATAATCTTAAAATTTTAAACAGAAATATTTTCTCTGTACTAAATTTTTTAAATTTGGTACGCTTCAAAGTCATTTAGAGTGATAGAAATTTCACTGGTATTTTCAAAGGAAAACCAATCTAATTTGAAGCAAGGCTCATGTTCAACGTCATGGTCATGGTCATTTCTTTTTTAAGCTAGACTTGAAATTTAACTTGATTAATTTATTTAGCCACTTTAATCCTCTTAGTCAGAATTTCATTGTGAAGTTTAAAATTCTTTATTTTTAAGTGGTTTCCAACTGACATGAACCTATTCTATTATAAGCCACAAAAAAGAAACATACTTTCTTAACATAAACCCCTCGACTTTAAAAAAATAATCATCAGCAAGTTTTCCATGGAAGGCAGTTGACCCACAGCATAGGACAACTGCAAAACGTTTCAAACTGAACCAAAATATAGACTTAAAAAATATAGATTACAAAATTCAACATCGGATGCACCATTCAAAACTTGAAAATCACCACGGAAGATAATGGAGCCACCATTTCATAGTCGTTGAAGAACTATCACTTGAAGACAAAAACGGATTTAGAATCTAAGAAACAAAATTCCTCAATAACTAAAGCACCAAAATCCGTAAATATAAGTAAGAATATAAGAGGAATATTTCTGATTTTAAGTACTAATTGTCAGTTTCCATAACTTGTATTGATTTGAAACAACACTCACATGAAAGACAAAAAACTAAAAAACAAAAATTCCTGATAGCCCATGAAAAAACAAGTGGAAGACAATCAACAAAAATAAGAGAAATCACCACCGTTATGCTTAACATCCAAAAGGCTTAACCAAAAAGAGAATGCTCCAATAACAGAAATTAACACTTTAAGACTAAATGACTACACTGAAAGAAACAAAACGAAAGACTTCTAAAACTGATAAAAAAAAACTAAAAAGGAAAGAATCAACAGAATATACATCTTCATCTCGATCTGTCTATTGCTACTTTTAAGGTGGGAAAAATGCTCAATTTTCGGAGACTAATACTACCCTAGCTACTTGTAGCACACTTTTTTACAAAACCTAAATAATCTTTAAAATTATAATGTGCAATTAAGCTTTCAGTTACCTGAATAAAGCCTTAACTTCTTGTTCCCCATTAATAGCTAGAAGTAACTTTGAAGCACTTGTAGAATTATTATCTCTGCTTATAGACTCCATACATGTATCCTCTGTATTTGTACTTAACGATTAACTGTAACAAAAAATGCATATATTTTTGCATCATTTCTGAAATCTTAAAAAGAAGTTTCTTTGATGGCACTAGCAAACTTGAGTTGTTGATCACATTTAAACATACGTATAGCTACCGAGAACATTCAAACATAATAAAAATCAAATACAAAAAAAAACAACTGAATTTTCAATGCTAAAGTAACGGTGCGTAAAAAATGAAGGATTGTTTAAATTCTAAATAAGTCTGATTGTTTTTTGCTCAATTGCACTAATTTGTAAGAATTACCCCGAAGTCCTGTTTACAATAACCCCTTCTCCATAGAAAATGGTCTGACTGACTCATGGATATTCATACTGTCTCTATGCTTTGTACTTATTGGTCAATGCATGTTACAACGGACCAATCACAGACAGGCAATGTTAAAGGGGTACCGGTTCAAACTGGTTAGGATGGGTTAGCACAAGTTGTTAGCAAACATGTGAAACACACTTACTGTAATTTAAAAAAAGTGCTTTGAATAATACTTCTGAATATCTTCAAAAGAACACTAATATTTCCGTGCATATACTACAATATTCAAACATCATTTTAGGTGGTAGGCAACTTGTACTGAATCAAGGTTATTTTCTTGCTTTCAAAAATACATCAGGCGGTTTCAAAGAATACTACTGTAAAATTAAATTAGATTTCATAATATGTATCATTTCAAAAGTGTACTGAATAAAGAAACGCATTAAAGCAAGTACATGTACATTACAGATCTTTATATCGTTTTCTTTTTTTTCTCCAAAGTACTGAATATCTGACTCTAGTAATTGTCACACCATTTTAGGCAAGTTGAATCGAAAATTTAAAAAATATTAGCTTAAAATTTATGTCTCGTCAAAACTTTCTCCAACCCCTTTAGCTGTGAAGACGACAGATTTCTTTCAACATGAAAACTGTACTTTCTCAAATAAAAGAAGAACATTAGATCGAACTGCATATGATTGAGAAAGTGCCCCGACAAATTTTGTGAAAACAATTTTAATTTTTTTTTTCCCTGTCATGGCAGGCAAATGGTTGTGGCTCCTATTTGGAGTCTAAGTATGCAGCATATTCAAGTTTCTTTTAAATACAAAAGGCATCTCAATTGAATAAAATTGCATTAACTTGAGCTATCAATTCAAGTTTCAAATGTGATTTTGTTTTTGGAAGTTGACTTTGGTGTCAACATTTTTTTCACCACCCTCTACCAGAATCCCATTCGATAAAGACCCGAATCTAGAGAATTTCCCTCATAAGGAATTACAAATATTCAAATGAAATTAACTGATGAATACATTTAAATATATGAATACATTTACTAGGTGAATACATTTGAATACACTGCATACATAAACTCCCTTTTCAAAAAGGACAGAACAGACACACGACTGATGAATGGTGCTTAATAGGCATGCCACGAGAATCGATAAAAAGCATGGAATATAACAAAAAAATAAACACCGGTGTTTGTTAATTCAGAAGACTAGAGTTGTACAGTGTTGGGGCTGATTAGGACTGGGGGCGGGGTTGTGGAGGGAGGGGCGGGGTTTTGCTTGTACCCACCACCCTGTCCAATGGCGCTGGTGGCAGCTTATTTATTGAGCTCTCATTGGGTAATAAACTGATGTATTAAGCCCCTCCTACTTTGCACATGGGCAACAACACATGTGCCTCGTCAATGTCGCACTGCATGTTCCAGCCGGCAAGTCATACGCACATGCATGTATGTCAGACCTTTGTGTGCACCTGTTACACATTAATCACTGTTGTGATTGGTCAAAGTGTCTTGGGGGCGGAGCTCTAGGTTTCTTTTGTTTAACCAGTGACTCAGGATGTATACTCAACATGTGTGCTTCCCACAATGCTCCGGGTTTCCTCCACAAGATTTTGTGACAGAGATTAGCCATCATCAGTGGGTTTGGATAGGACGGTGGTACGAGCAAAGGTCCAGGCAGGGATGGGATTGGGCTGAGGGCCATAGACAGGGGCGTGGGGTAGCTGGAGATAGGTTGACAAGGCTAGGTGGGGGTACCGGTACATGTACGTGGGGCTAAGCGATAGGTTAGACAGAGGTTAGAGACAGGGGGCAACTGCTGAAGGATAGAGGTGAAGTTGGGGGGATATGCTGGATAAGGAATAGGGTTGGGGTAGGGGGGTATTAGGGCTAGAGACTGTTGTTTGGAGTAGGTAAAGTAAGCAAAGGATAGAATCAAGATTGGGACGAGAGAGAGGGGCAAGGGTGTGTCAGGGAGGAACAAGGGTGTGTCAGGGAGGAACAAGGGTGTAATCAGGAGGAACAAGGGTGTTACAGGGAGGTTTCAAGCAATTGTTGAGGGAGAAAAACAGGAAAGGAAAATGTGAAGAGGCTGTGTTAGGTTGGTTGTAAGTGTGGGATAGGGAGCCAGAGTAGTACTTGAAAGGGGACAAGCGGCCCGATCTACTTTATACATTGCAAACTAAAGGAGTGAATCTTAACCAACGAGATTATTTTGAATGTCAGGTGGAAGTTCCTGAGATTTTTCAACAGTGCTATTGATAAAATGACAACAGCTAGAGATGCTTCTTCAAGGAAGAGATTATTAAATTGGCAAATAATTTCAAAACTACAGCCTGATATCTACACAGAAATATATCTAAACATAGCCGTGTCTACAATTACAAATGCCAAAGACATACATGTATGCAAATGTGCATCTATGGCTATGCAGACATTAAACTTCAACCAAAAACTACTGGTAGGGTGATTGCACAGAAAAATATCTGTAAAAACAATAATCACTTTTGGAACAATGCCAGGACGAACAGGTGTGCACAGTTTACCTATGGCAACAATGGTACAATTGTGTTAAAAAATAATAATCATAATGAAAAATAAACTAATTGCTCGGTGAACAAGTGAAACACGTGGCAAGCCAAAATTGTATATGATTTATAGATTGGTGCTCTGTACATTTTTGAATTTCAACTGAATTTGCTTGGAACGTTTCTCTGTTTTCCCCTGAAAAGGACTGAACGAGAGGAATGTTATCATAAATCTGTCCTACCCCCCCCCCCCCCCCCCCCCATATGCATATTTGAGATTCACAATGCAAGACAATGCGAAATTAGTGTTTCTTTTTTTTGAAAAATGGAAATTTCAGGCAGGTTGAGATGGTCCCTCCAAAATGCAAATATAAAGGTGCTGTCAATTCCATGATTGGATTTAATTTCTAAGTGGTCTGAAATTAAATTAGTTTTTACCAAACACAAAATGGTGGGTTTCAATTTTTTTTTCCAATTTCGGATAACATAACTTTCCTGATTACATAACCATGCATGGGTTATTAAAATAAATTCTGGTGGAAATGAATTTATTAAATGATTCCACAAACTGGTTCTGTTGTTCAACAATGATGTAGGAACCTAAGAGATATTCTTATTATTGTTATGGTCAGGATAAGCTAAGGATTTTCAACTAAAGAAGTTAGTAAATGCAGGGACCTAAAACTACAAAACATCAGGAAAAGACAACCATTGGAAGTACTGTAGATCATTTTTACAAAAAAATTAGTTCAATTTTTTCAGGTTACAGTTATGAATAAATTGAATGTTTTTCTTACACATATTTTTCCGTTGAAGTAGTTTTATCAAAGGCTAAAATATTTCAGTGCAGTGTTTGTCCATTATATAATTTTTAAAATGTGCGCGTTGTAATATATTAATATTTTTAAAGTGTGTTAATCAATTAAAATTATTGGAAAATTTGTGGAAAAGTGCAAAGTTTTTTCTGAAGCATTTAAATAGTGTTTGCTTAAAAAAAATGTGTCTTAAATGCTTAAGTGCCAGATTTAAAAGTTTGAATCTAAAAAGAAATACATGATGATGTGGTCCGTTAAAAATTGACGTAACAACAAAAACAGAAAACAGAGGAAAAAAGACATAAATGGTCAAATATTAAAAAAATTAAGTGGAAAGTGTGGAATTTAACCAAATAGGACAATGTACAAATCCGATACCTACATGTATGTATGATTCCTTGTTAGTATTGATTAAAAAAAAAAAAATTCCTTCATATAAAAACCTGATTTTGTGTACAACTTTGGTCTGTGTCTTATTTTGGCTTTAAATTTTAGGCAGTGGCAAAAAGTTGGATTGGATTTTAAATTCCTCTTATATCTATTGCCAACAAAAAGAAAGTTTTGCTGCTTAAAATAGTAATGAAATCCAAACTTGTTAATATGAAAACAAAATAGTAGCAGGATTTTGCTTGAACTTCAGGTTGAAATTAAGAACAATCTTAGCAGTTTGAAGCAGCGACTAATGTAAGTTAGATCAATCAAAGATTTCTACAGCTAGAGGAAAGTTTTTTTTTAATAAAAAGTCTATAGTACCTAGCTAATTGTGTTTTGGCGCTCAGTACAAAATATTTTTGTTCTTGCTGGTTTAAGTTAAAACTTGGGTCTGGAAATTCTGAGATTATATTTGGTGTGACACGTGAATTTCTGATCTGCCAGGCATTGTAGTTTTCAATATTTTCTTCATATCATCAACTTAAAATAAATGAATTATTTGCATATGTTACGATGGAATTAAAAATACATTTTAATTCAGAATATTTCCCCTAGATCAAACACACAAGATGACATCATGGATACCAACAATTTTTTCCCCTTCATAAACACACCTTGACAAATAAAAGTAATTATGGAGGGTCGGTCAATCAAAATCTTCGGAACTGGCCGCCGTTTCCCCAGAGAGGGCCGATAAGGGGGAGGCCATGTCCTGGAGGTCCGAGAACAACCCCGGGCCCTCGGATATGGTGTTTGTAAAGACAATCCCCCCATTCCCGATCGCATGCCTATTAAGCAAACCATTCTGTTCAGAGGAAGTGCTGCTGTTGCTGTCATCATTGTCGCTCGTGGAGCCAGATCCATCCTCCACGGCCAGTGGTGCCGCGCCCTTGACTTTCGTCATCTGGGCGTCGGCTACCTCATAGTGGTAGACGCAACTGTCGTCAGAGCTCTCCGAGGCGGTGGAGGAAGTTTCTGAATAACGCAGATCTCCCTGGAGGAGGTATTGCTCCTCGCTTAAACCCCTAGTACTGTCATCGTCGTCGGGAGTCGGGTACCCGACTATGTCGGGACTGTTCAGTAAGTCGTCCAAACTGCGGTCCGTGAATTCTTGCCTGGCAGAGTCTACGCTCTCTGTGCTCGCCGCGCTCTCGCGCTTGCTGGAGCTCTCGCAATCGCTCGACTTGTCCCAATTGCTAGAGCTTTCCTGACTGCTAATTGTTTTCTGAATTTCAGAACTGTTGGGATCATCAATGCTCTCTTGATGGCTTGACTTTGCCTGATTGTTTGAGCTATCTCGACTGCTGCTAGAATCAGAAACACGGATTTTTCCCGGCCGCACTATCATCTTCAATTCCGTGACGAATGTGCCAGGTCGGGTCAATCGCATTTCATTACTCTCAGGTGATATGACGATCGTGTCGACCGTTTTTGACACATGACCGGGTTTCTTGTAGGGTTTGGAAGCTACGATAGGGGGCGGGGGTCTCTCGATTGAGCTCACTGCTTGACTGTCTAACATACACTCTAAGGTGCTTCTTTGATTTTTTGGAGCGACCTGTCCTGTTGCACTAAAAGTCTTCACGGTTCTTGACTCAGTGACTACCGTTCTGTGAACTTCGGAATAACCAGACATTTGGACTCCCGCTTCCTTTTTGGTAACAACCGAGGTTTCGGCTTGTTGCATACTGACATGGGCATGACCGTTTGAACTTTGACCTCTTGTGACCCCTGATCTCTGTATGAAATCAAATTGCGATTTTATTTGAGGCGCTTTGGATTCCATCCGCGGGGGCGGGGTTGGGGGTACGGGGGATTTCTCCGCCCCCTCAAACTTCCTTGGGTCCACCTTGATTGGTTTGGGTTTTGGGGGACGGGGTGGAGGGGAGGCTTTGACGACGGGGGCTGGAGGGGGTGGACGCTGGATGTCATAGCTAAATGTGTGCCTCATGATCGACGCATGGGGTGGGGAAAGCGGTGACGGACAGGGTGGGGGCGAATCAGGGAGAGGGGAAAGAGGCAAAGGAGGGGGTGGAGGTAGGTCAGGAAGCATGTGGGCAATGTTTCTAACTCTGCCAGTCTTTGGAGGACTAGCAGGGGATCGGGGTGGAGGTGGGGGCATCATGTCATCAAAACTTGTGATCTTATGAAGCTCTACTGTTGAGATTTTTGGAATGTGCGTTGGGGGTTCGACTACCGAGACTTTGGGAGTGGGGGGTGGAGTTGGGGGAGGGGGTGAGTCATGGATGCGCTTTAAATTACGAGACCCCAAAGCAGATGGAGTTAAGGCTCGGGCAAGATCGGCTTCGTCAAAAGGTGCTTGATTTGTTGCGTTATCGATTCTAGGAGAGATCTTGGCCTCTGGTATAGGACCTTGAGTATTAGCATTGATGATATCCTCAGAGAGGGAGTCACACGGAGCCGAGAAAACGGAAAATTCTTGAGAGGGAGTTTCAGGGGTCAGCTTTATTTCATTCTGCTGTTCAGAATCAATCGGAAAGAAAACAGGACTTTCGGTTGAGGTATCTGACAGCACGTCATGCTCCATTTCTTTGAGGCTCTTGCGCGTCTCTGCCAGGCTTTCTTCAAGTAGTCGCAGATTGGCTGAGGTCTCGTCAAGGTTCTCTTCGAGATGAGTCAAATTTTTGTTCGTCTCACCTAACGTCGCTCCTAAACTACTATCTTCACTATCATCACTACTATCGTCAAAGACCAACTGTCTCTCTTTCATGAAGGAGGAGTAATCTTTCGGGCTGGAGCGGTCCTCCTCCGGGGTGATATCAAACCCCTTCTGGCCCATCTCAGATCCTTCCTCATTCAAGAAAGAGTCCAGGCTTCGGGATTCGAAACTCGGAGTGTAGGCCTCGTCAGTCGGACTGGCCAACTCCGCGGCTATCTTCAGCACCTCGTCAATAGTGCTGCTCAGCCGGATTTCAGTGGAAGCACGGTCTGTCCGAATAAAATTCAAATCGTCGCTAGACGTGCTTCCGTTGGAAGCGGCAGCCTGCATGGACCCCAAGAGCTCCCCGCTTGTCCCACTTCCCACCGACCCCATCTCAGCTTCCACACTCTTAGTCGGGGACTCATTTTCTGGATCGCTTGTCACAGGCATGTGCAAGCTCTCCAGGACTTCAAACTTAGCCTTGGTTTCCCTCATGTCAAATTTCTTCCCGATCTCCAGAAGACCCAACCTCTTCCCCACTGCATCATCTTCAAATTCACTGACAGAAGGCCCCCCGATCCCCTCAAGAATCTCCAAGTCAAACCCCTCTTCTGTTTGAATCTCATCTTCATACTCCAGCCCGTCCCCGTCCTCAAGGCTGTGAGAACCAGACGAAGAGCTCGAGCTCCCACTCTCACGTCTCTCTCTCTTAGGACCCTCTTCGTCTACAAAGGGGTCTTCTAATCTCTCAATCTCATCCGGCAGGTCTAAGATGACCTGCCGTCTCATCTCATAATCGATATCGATATGCAGGCTGCCGCTTGGGATGCTAATATCGGAAGTGTCAGTGGAATAATTCGTACTCAAACCCTCATGCCCGTTGTGTTCTCCGTTGACGACGGGCGACTGGAGTTCCCTTTCAGGTTCCAGCTGCAGCTCGGGCTCTTCGTTGGCTTCGGCTTCTGTCGGAGCAGATCCCGTCGACAGGTTACGGAGAGCTTCCCGCTCCCCGTTTACTTCTGGCTTGGCTTGCATTTGTGGGCTGTCTTCATTGACTGTGTACTCGTAGGTTATGCTGGAGCTTGACTGGCCCTAAAACAGAACAAGGAATCCCATTTAGATCTCAGATCATCTCAAAGCCTGTCCAACTTTACGTTGTGAGACAGGCGTAAAACAGGTGTGCATCCACCCTTCTCGCTAAATCTTCAAATGATAAGATTGGTCCCGTAGGTCTCTTACCTTGTGGATAGCTATCCTAGAGCTATCATGGATGGGTGTGACCGGTGTGGAAGAGGGCGTGGTTGGTGAGATAGATGGTGGACTGGCCACGGCTGGCTCACCCTGCCCGTTAGGATAGCCCTCACCGTAGGTCAGGTCGGGGGCACTATGGTGATCGGGTACAATGCTCTCTGTCAGGTTGATGGTGAGTGGGGTGGTGGTACGCGGTGCACCCAGGCTCCGGGTGGAGACACGAGCCAGGCTTGGGCTGGAGATTCAAAATTCAAAGACAGGCGTAAAACAAGTGTGAAACAGCTGTACGACACCTGTGTGGGAACACAATACAGGCTAGGGCAAGCGATTTGAAAATCAATAATAGGTGGAAAACAAGTGTAAAATGTGTGTTTATCATTTTTTTAGTAGACATATGATACTGGCTGGAAAAGCAAAGCTGTTCTCTATCTTTGGTTAAATTTTGCATGTTTAACTTTGGTTAAATTTTGACTAGAACTCACGCAAATCCTGGTCTCTGGATGTAGGTGACCCTGGCATCTTCAACCACCTGCTTCTGTGTTCTTCCACTGCAATAACAAATAAAACAGGTGCACAAAGAGATTCAAAATTTTAATTTTCACAAATATTTTTTATTTTATAGATTTATGCCGAGTTAGTAATTTGCTGCTATTAACAGACATTTCTACTGTTTATGGTGTAACGAGGAAATGACTTTGTTCCCGCATCAGTCACTAAAAAAAAACACGGTGAGTGGATTCCATGCACAGTCAACGGATACAAAGGGAGAGTTGGGGGAGACCACTGCGAGAGACATTCGACAGCTTTGTCGTCCCTGCCTGACGCTCACGCAAGGACGCCACAGGTTTTGTGCACGCTCAAGATAGCGCGCACTTAACGCCGCACATGCGCAAACCAGTACGCACATGTGGAGTGTCCCGTCTGTTCCCCCCCCCCCCCCCCTAACTGCAGCTCTCCAAAGTGGCCATCTACTGTTGGTTCACGGAGTCCATTCCTGGCCACTTTTTCCTCACCTGTAGCGGAATGTTGACCCCCTGCTCATCAGTCTGCGTCTGGGCCGACGACCGTGTCTCGGCTGCATCAGACGGAAGAACGTGTGGTGCTCCACGCAGCACTTCCAGAAACGCTTGCACTCGTTACGCGACGTCATCAGGAACTCCACGGTGCTACGAGGGTAACCCTAGGAGGTGAGAAGGGGAACAAAGGTGGTTGATGGGCGAACTTGATAAAACAAAATGTCTGAGTTCATACCGAGGATCTCACCTACTCCGTGCCAAAATCCTGCTTTGTCACCTCTCGTCATTTATCAAGTGTAGCGTGAAGAGGTTCCTTATTTTCTCTTTGACTGCCTTTGGCCTTGTTGTTGGTGAATTTGAATTGAAAAAAAAAGACATCCTTCAGTAAAATTTTCGCTACAAATTGTTGGACGCTTAATACAATGTCGCACAATGAACAACTAACGCAAACAAAGACCTTCACAGAGATACCACAAATGGAACAAATGAAACAGTACAAAAATGTTGGTCTTAAGATTCCGGTAGACTATTTCTGCCAGAATGTGCTTTCTCTAATTGTTTTATAAAGTCGTTTGAATGGAACCCCGACATTTCAAACTTTTGACCAAAATACTTAAAAAGTACTTTAAGATACTTTCGTAAACACCAACAGATAAATAAAGACTAAGACTAAGACAGTAAACCAAAACAAGCAAAGTTTTGTCCTCACACTTACGAATCCCTCCGGATGGAGCTTGACGAGGAAACGTTTGCGTTTGAAGCTGAGTTTACGGATCTTGGCCCAGGAGAAGGTGTTGATGCGACTGTTGTTATGGAAGACCAGCACGCCCTGATGAGAGACAGCGAGTTGCAGCTGAACGTTCTCGTAATCGCGAGCCGCGTGGAGCTGCACGCCGTACATCTCCAGACGTCGCGCAACGTCCAGGAGGTTGAAGTCTGCGTCCGCTGGCGTCTGACCTCTAGAAAGATAACAATTGACGTTCCCCAGAATAACATACAATAAGATTTTTAACCCATAAGTACAGAGATGATATTGTATTGTGTTTACCTCTTGATAAATGATATGAAATCATAAAGTGCTTGGTGGTTTGGGGCGGTTTAAGGAGTGTCAGGCAGGGACTAAGGATTAATACGGATATGGAATATTAAGTACATGTACGTATCCGTATTCAAAGATGACATGTCAATATTATTGCACAAATGTAGTTTTTTCTATAAATATTATTCGAATCAAATGCAATACTTACATGTGCAATTACAAAATCAACATAACAACGAAAAATATTCAGTTTCATTTTCCCTTACACATGGTTCTTGTGATATTCCTGGATCTTGCTCTCCATGGCGCGGGTCTGACTAGGAACAAACCTAAAGGCAGTGATGTAACGTCCGTCGTCGTGCTCTGGGGTGCTGTAATCACCAACCTCAGCTGAAGGAAATAAAAACAAAAAACTTCCTCAGATTGACAACGTGACCTTTAGCATTTTAAAAAATTAATTCAATTAAGCAGCCTAAGAAACTCAACAAAACTCATCTTTTTGTCATAACTAGTTGACAACTTCCGACATTTTTAGTTTTGTTTCAAGCAGTTTATGATCAGTTACTTATGCAATCAATTTTTTGATTGAGCACTTTTTGTTTTAAAGTCAACTTTCCTTATTTTTTCGCTGCAACAACTAAAACTGAATGGCTCGCCAAAAATCACAAACTGACTTGTCAAAAAAAAACTGCAACAGAAAAATTACGACCAAAACAAATAGTCGAGTTCTACACTCAACCAACCGGTTCTTTTCAGAACCACACTTCTTCCAAGAAGAGATTAAGTGTCACCAAAAAATACCTCATAATGATCACACAAATGCAATTTTTGTAAATACATTGTAAATATTGGTCTAAATTAAATCAAAATTCTGCCACAGATGTATTTTGTTTCGGGGGGGGGGGGGGGGGGGGGAATTGGGAGTTGAGATTACCTTGTAACATGTAGGATGCCATGAGGGCCGCTGTGTTCTCCGAGCAGGGAAGTCTCCCGTTGGAAAGATCCTTCTTGATTTGTAGGGCGTAAAGGTATCTGAGCAGAATAACAAGTGTAACAGTATTTTTCTCCAAGTACTACATGAAAATGTACAGATAAAAATTCCTACCAGGCAACCCAGAAGAAGTATACAATCTCAAATGAACGGTGCTCCTGCTAACACAAACAAGTGCGTTCATACTGAAATTTGTATCCTTGTGGAGACATTTCTTTGTTCTCATGTACTAAAGTTTTCGAGTTTGAAAGTACAGTTTCAAAATGCTCTTATTTTTATAACCAGAATTAATTTCCTTGGCTGACTTAACATCCCTTTTCTAAAACTATACCATTTGCGACAGATGAACATGCCTTGGAAATTCCTAGTTTTTGAGTAAAGTCCATATATCTATTTTGTGATAACCTTGTAAAACGTATTCATCTATAGAAATTGCCCTGTGGCGACGTATACAATCTTTTATTCCCTATTGTGTGCATGTCTCCAGAGGGCACGGTGTATCAGATCAGAATGCTGTATTCTGAGCAACAGAATCTGCAAGGCTTAGGGCCTCCGTGGAGTCTTGTGTTGTTAAGACATCTGGTTTTCAATACTCGGCTATTAAATTGGGGCATTTCTGACTCACTTGGTGAATTCATCATGCAGCTGGCCTGGATCAGCGAGGTAAAACTTCACCGTGAAGTGGAACAGGGTCTTCTTGGGAGCTGGAGTGACAGAAAAACAAAAATCAGAAACAACATTCCATTATCTTTGGAATTCATCGGTCAATTCGACTTGGCTCCCACAAGAATACAGCGAAATACAATAACAATTTCTTGTACTTTGGACATTGTTTCTTCCCCTCAATTTGTAAGTTGATTAAATAATTAAGATTGTTGTCTCCATAACTCAATTTTCATGAGTGATTGCAGATTCTACATCAGATATCACAACTTGAAATTCTACAAACAGAATAAATTAAAAATTGTTAATAACAGTTATTATGAAGGATCCAGGAAAATTTCTTGTGAAATATCTGGGAGAAAGTTTCAAGAAGGCAAAGTCTGAAACTGATGAATAATAGAAGTTAAAAATAAAAACAAGGGATTTCTATTTTCAGTTGAGATCCTTTCCCTAGCCACTAAACGGCCGACTGAATCATGTCCTCGGGTCGTGAGGCAGAGGAAGTTGGATGGGTGAATCACGTAGACATGGTGGACATGCAGTACTTCCAAGCCAAGTCGGTGGCTTTAACTTGCCTTGACATGTAAAGGGTGTTAAAAGAAGGACTTTGTAGATTTGTTAATTTGTTGGTTGTTTTAATGATTAACCTAAAGGTGAAATGTTAAACTGTACAGTTTCAGAGTCAGGCATGCAACTGTAAGTCGTACAAAAAAGAGGAAATTCAAATTTTTCCAAGACTTTGTACCGTGTTTTTCTATTTTCAATGGCACACATGTGAAGTACAAAAAGAGGAAATCAGCTGTTTCAAGGAAAAGTTGCATGCCTGCAGACTACTGTCATTGACCGTACATGTATCAACCAATTGGGGCACGCTATAAATTCTATCATGAAGGCCCCCTTCAATGGCCAAAGCATTGTGCATTGTTCAGATAATCCACCACGGGACGGTTGCTTTCTACAATGGCACGCAAAATGGAAGGGGCCCTCGTGCATGTACAGCGATCACGTGCCTGAATGCATTTTTGAGACTAATGACAGAGATAAAACACTGAACAACAATAAAGAATTCATGGTAGTCCTCTGGGTAGGGTCGTTTGTGGATAAGGGTCCTCAGGAAAGGAAATTAGCATTAACAACAGGTAACACATTGCCTCAAATGTACCGGTACCAGTGCATTGTACTTGTAATTATGGTAAACATGGTACATGTACATGTATTTAAGTTCATCAGCCAGTGTGTACTGTGTGTTTGTTTATGGTGTAAAGCGAGGACACACACGTGCAACATCATTGATGAATTGAAGACAGGAACCAAATTGAGGACTCCTCAGTTAGAAAATGTGTACAAAACCAATGAGAGCTGTTGCAAAAAAGTTACTATAAACAAAGGAAAAGGGAAGAGAAAATCCTCGATTAACACCATAAACAAACGTGCTGGTACGTGTCCACACACTCCCCATGTTCACACAACTACAGGTTCTGATGTTACATGTCTTCAAGCAAACTTGAATCCTGGATGCCGATTGGTGGATCCATAGCGACAGCAATGTACATGTACCACATACATGTAACATTATCCAACGTACTTGTACATGTACATGTGCACGTATCACAGAGCAAGGTACCGGCATCACAGTCCTGTTTATAGTCCACAGGGTTCTGCAAATCAAGTTTGCTTGAAGATAAACTTGTTATCCTGTTCCCAACGGCGAGCACTAAAAATGTAATGTGTGTACGTGTGTCTGCACCCCACATGCCATGAGGCAAAAGAAGAACGGAGAGGACGTGTCTAAATCACTTGGCTGCGGCTAGATAACACACGTGTCTATGGGAAGTGGCTGCAGCGGCTACCATAGGCACGTGTAATTTCTAGCCACAGCCAAGTAATTCGGACACGGCCAGACATGTTATGCTTATCATGTCCTACATAGTGGAACATGTGCTGTGTACTTGTACTCATGGAGGAATTCTGGAGGATAAATGGCAGAATCTTAACTGCTGCATTTTATTACTGAACTGAAGGATTTTGATGCCATCAGGCGACTCTTTATCATTTGAAAGTTTGCTTCAAGAATTACATTTGTAATTAATCAAAATCTTTACGTATAAAGTACAAAATAAATTTTGAAAATTAACTCCTTTAATACCCGTACAATCATATTACATTGAAAACAAATAATGGAAGTTTTTTTTTCATTCAATACAGTTTCATTACATTAATTTATAAATAAAAAAATGTTTCAACTTGAAATTTGATGAGAAATATGCAGCATGATAAGGGACCAACACATTCAAAAACAAAAGAAACAATTTCCTAATGTACATGTACCGGGGTACATGTGCAAAATTGAACTAGTAAATTTAACCCAAAAAACAGGCAACTCAAGTCTCCTACATGTCTACCAAACGCAATAAATGCATTGCTCCTTGTCTTTTCATGATTATCATATTCCCAATCCCGCCAAATGGCTCCTACACATTCCTGGCATTCCAGTGCTCCAAGCTACATGTGACAAGGGAGGTTGGGATAGATCGGGATGAAACAAACATCATGATACATCAACAACATCTTGGTCCTCGGTGGAACCATGGTGGACAGTGGACCGCAATCACTGGCTTCCCAGTCAGTCAGACTACCAGTCGAGCCATGGGGACCGGGGAGGACTGGGGGGGGGGGGGGGGGGGGTGGAGGAGTAGTCAGACAACTATGATCATGATTGGTCGTGGATTTCCAGTCAGACAGATGCTGAGGTCTTTGAGTGGGACAGCATGCATCCCAAGTCGTTTTGGCTTGGGGTCGGTGAGACAACCAGGTTCTTAATTGGTCAAGGATTCCTTATCAGTCATAGGCCGGGAGTCTGTGAGACGGCCAGGTTCTTAATTGGTCGAGGATTCCTAGTCAGTCATAGGCCGGGAGTCTGTGAGACGGCCAGGTTCTTAATTTGTCGTGGATTCCTAGTCAGTCATAGGCCGGGAGTCTGTGAGACAGCCAGGTTCTTAATTGGTCGTGGATTCCTAGTCAGTCATAGGCCGGGAGTCTGTGAGACAGCCAGGTTCCTAATTGGTCATGGAATTCCCAGTCAGTCAGAATGTTGGGGGTGTTGGTAAGATACTTGTATGTAGCCGTGTTCCTAGTTGGTTATGAATTCCCAGTCAGTCAGAGGTACGCTTGGCAGTTGGTAACTGTGACAGCCAGGGTTCCTAATTGGTCATGGATACCAAGTGGGTATGGGGGGGGGGGGGTAAGTGAGACAGCTGTGTCCCCACATGAAATTGGTCATTTCCAATCCCACGCTGGTACCAACCGCCAAGCATGATGGGAGGTCGGCAGCAAACATGCTCATCATATTATCAGGCCCGATTACAAATAGAGAGAATTTACTGCCTGCTCTAAGATGATGGTAAACATCAAATCAGCCAGATCATGTCTGTAATTCCTCAATGAATGATTTGCGATGGTTTGGGGTCAGACTTCATGTCAACTAATTTACCAGAGTGTTCAGTTGATGCATCTGTTTGTGTGTAGTACATGATGTATGTATTCTAACAACAGATATTATAATTGAGGGATCTGCTTGTGGTTTTGCAACTTCTATATTCATGAAGAAAACTTTATGTCAAAATATGTTATAATAATAATTGTTGAAGAAATGGCACAGAACATTCCTTTTGGGTACTTTTCCATTTTTTTGCCATGGCGTTTACTGACATCAGAAAAGCGATAACCGAGTCCTGTGGAATTTGTTGATTTCCTGAAGTGGCTTCTGCCTTTAGTAAATTTTCTTACTCACAAATTTAAAGGTACCGGTACAATCATGGCAACATTTTGCTTTTTGTGCATTTTTGTCATTCGAAGCAACAAAATTGCTCAAAATATTAAGAAGACAGCACAACCACGAACTTGTTGAAGTTTCAACTCAGTGGATTGTATTCTCGAGAAAACGGAGAAATTGTGTGCACTTTTTGGGTTCTCGCAACTAGATTCCGTTGCTAATGCATGTAAAACAAAATGTGTCCACTGGCACAGTTTCTAAAACTGTTAACGATTGTTTTCTTCCGAATGATACCATTTCAGGCAGATTAATTCACAGGGTATTTGGTACCAGTCCTATCTTTACTTTGAGCATGGATTTTCTCGTTAAATTGGCAGGTACCGTACATTTCGGGGTAATTGCAAACGTCCCTATGTGCGTTTAACAAAATAACAAGACTTTCCGCAAAAATCCCTGGTGATCGTGGAACATACCTGCCACCTGTCTGTTAATTGGCTTCTCCAAGTCCAACCACATCTACAATAAAGAGAAACAGAAAGGAAAGGAAAAAAAAAGAGTAAAATTGCTGTCCAACACCATCCAATAAAAATAACTGCCGAGGGATTAGAGGTGAAAAGGTCGCAGTAAAATATGAAGGACGAGTTCCAGACAAGAATGTAAATCATTGATATCTGAGTCTCGAGTCAGGTGAAAGCATACAGAGGATCACAACCTCAGATCAACATGATCTTCAACAATCACAATTTATGACGGATTTGTTTACAAAATGCGGCACAGATAAATGTCAAAACAAGCAAGACAGGGGAGCTTGTTTTTTTCATTTAATTTTTGTTTTCATTTTGTGAGGTTACCAGACCTATTTTATGTTCTGTGCAGGCACCGGTATGCTTTCAGTATTTCATATTTGTCAACTGTAGATTAACTTGGAAGTAAACAAGTTGAGATATCGTGGGAAACGTCCACGTGTACAATTTGTTTAGACACTTTTTTTTCTTCTTTGTTTAGCTCCCTCCTCAAAAACAATCCAAGGGTCTCTGTCTTTTTAAAGGTAATATACAACATTTGACTTTTGCTCTAGTTTTCAGAAATGGATGGATTTGGGGGTAAGTATTTTATAGCAAATATTGTAACACTGACTTGTTTGAAATTTTGTGTTCGTAGATGATGGAAAAACCAAGAAAAAAAAATTAAGTTCTTGTAGTCTGGTTTCCTGACCCTGTACTTCAAGCCAAACAGAGCAAGTATGTCCGGAGTTGTCAGGTCAGGGATGTGTAACCGATTGCAAACAAAATGTGGACTAACTAAATTTGATAAATTTGGGGCAGTATTTGAAGAAAAAAAGTCAGGTTTTTTTCCAACGATGGTCGGCCGACAATAGTTGCAAATTGATACAAAAATTTTTCCACTTTTCTTCAAAATGACAGCACACCAGGTGCCACAATTTCACATAATACTAAACTACATTGTATTATTCACTTAATACAGTCAAGTAAGGTATTTCATAATAATTTGGTAGTTTTGCTTTTTGATGTTTTCGAATGATGGTTTTGCCCTGCACCAAGCTCTGTATACTCAAGTCAAAGCTGTCTGGGAGCGTGCCAACAAAAATTCACACAACTTCGCAATCTTACAAGAACAGAGATAGTGTTACAACTCCTCTGGTGTGTGTACACATTGTATATATATTAGCCATTACCGTATGTGCCCCATTAAACCTGACCCTGTCATCGTCATGGCATCAAGTCCATGGATCACTCACTGGTCCCCCACAGATGGGAACCATGCTATGCCGTAATGAGATCTTAATGGGTTTAGCTTTGGTCTCATCAGTCCACCAAAAAGGTAAACAAATATAAAGGGAAAGGGAATGAACTAAAATATTTACTGCAGGACACAAATAGTGAACATTGAGTTTTTGTTCAAATCCGGTACAGCTGTTGTAAAACAAAATGGGCACACTTTTTTGTTGTACCGTACATGTACAAATTACAAAAACACTCCAATTTCCCTTTAACCATCCAAAAATAGTTTTTCACCCTCAACTAATTGCCTACTGTGAAATTTGTAATATTACAAAAAGAAATCCACCCACACATCCTCAGAAAAAAAGAGATATAAAAACGTTTCCATCAATCCGCAGGATGACACCAGGGATACAGGACGGATGACATATTACTGGCTGGCCCAAGTGATTCATTATACACACACAACCTTATGCCCGCTCAAAATGAGCATTAAGACATACAAACAACTGCTCTAGGGAGCCCTTCGCTATGAGCTTAAGGCCTGGTTAGTGTGATAATAAGCCGCAGATACAAACGGTTTGCTAGGATTAGCATAGTGCAGTTACATGTATGCTTGATTGGATTTTGGGTTTTGTATATGGGCCAGTGCAGTGAGCTCGGGCTGGGACATGCAAGGGAATTTGTTTTGGCTCGTGGCATATGGGAGATACACTCGGCTGGTCTTTACGGGTCGGTGCTAGTGCAAATAAGTACTTGCAAGCTACAAAATACATGTATGTACCCCGGTATACATACATGCATGGTAAACAGTGTTTCCCCTGCCCATTCAAACGTGAGGTGGCCCACCTCGCTACTTTCAGTGACCACCTCGCTCAATTTTTGCCAATATCGCCACCTCGCTGTGAAGATTTACAATAAAGGAAATATCAATTGAAAAATTTTCATTTTGTGTAATATATGAGCATTTTACTTTACCTCCATGTATCAAGAACTCACAATTTCGATTGTGTTTTTGGAATCATCGCGCATTTTTGTGAGCGCTGCATTCTTTTCAGTTTGCAGACTGTAAATTTTGTTTCAATCATCAACTTGAATTGTTACCACCTCGCTCAGTTCATTAGCCAGGGGAAACACTGATGGTAAATATTGTTTTCATTCACAAGGTACCTGTTATTGGTACCGTACACGGTTTCGGACTCCCAGGCAAACCAATCTGTACAGTTCTTTATATCCAGTCTCTCCATACCATATCAGGCTTTCAAGCAGACCCAGGTGAATAAGCAGGAAAACATTAGGATCAAAACTTTCAAACGAAAAAATATGTAGGACTTTGAAGGACAAAGTCCTTGTAGGTACATTGTACAGTATGTACATACATACATTGCTACAAGGTTTTAGAATCCCAGACCATGAAACCATTCTGCACACTAGTGCACAATTCTTTTTGTCACATATATGGGTAAACCACATCTGTCATCTATTATTTCATTGTGCCACACCTCTTTCTGGTTTTGACAAAAATGTGTGTATTCACCAAAATAAAATCGGGCATTTTGCATTCTGCGCAATTCACGGATGAAATGGATAAAAAAAAAAGTTACTGTCCTAGCAAGTACATGAATCTCTTGAAATAAATTCATGTGGTTTATTGTGCAATTAGCCCCAACTCATATTACAGAAAGAAGAAATTATGGACAACTGTTTTCAATAATTCATTTGTATTTTTTTTTTTCATTTCATTTCTGTTTTGTTAAATATTTAAAGCCAGTTGTATCTCAGGCACAGCGAGCCAGAAAAAAAAAACATTTTCCATCACTGAAAATGTCAACACGTACTTCCCAGACAAGGGTTGTTCAATGCATTTATGAAACGGCAGTCTTTAATGCAGTAGTATGTAAGAGCACATGTGCAGCTCAAGCCACTCGTGACCAATACACACGCCTTGACGTCTCACCAAGGGCTATTTATCTTGGCATGTGTAGAAACGTACGGTACAATACGTTCAGCGCCAAGCAGAATGGCGTAGAACGTCCCCCCCTCCAAATCGCGCTTGTCCAATACTGTTAATAAGATAATCCAGAGACTACCCAGAAGCGTCACGCGTGACGACGCTAAGCACAGACATGCCGTTACAACTACAAGACTCAGCGTACGGTAGAAGCAAGCGCTGGCGATATTTTTTTGATTACATTCTGGGAAAGGAATAAACAACTCCTCCCCCGAGATCCGGAGGCTGAAGAGGCGAAGCTTTACTGGAAATCAGTCTTTGTTCCTCTAGGGTGCAGCTTTAATCAAGATTCTCATCAGGAAAGCAGATACGCGTAAGACGGCCGTAGATTATACAGTACAAAGCACTTAATATTCTTCCAGCTCACTGCACATGATCTTGCATCTCAAAGAGTACACATGGATGTGAAAAGAGGAATGAATGATCAGGTTTCAAACAGAATTGGTTATAAACACGTGTACTGGCACAAATGCAAATTGGACTGTCCATTTTTTAACTCAAGATAAAATCCAACGGAAGAAATGGATTCCTTTTATGTTTACTTCCTTTGTCTGTCAAAAAAGCCAGAAACTTTAGAAGTATTTAAGATCACATTTTAACCTAATTCTCCTAAATTCTAAAAAAAAAAAAAAATCTGCAGGTTTTAAAATGCTAGTTGCTATCACTTTAAATACATGGGTCTTATTGCCTCTGGATACTGACAGAAATTTGACTCACCACTTTGTCAGTTTTGTTGAAGTATTCCAGGCCGAAGTAATCCATCTCCAAGAGGTTGAGATGTCTGCAGCATTCCTTGAAGAGATCCGCTCCGAGGCAGCCATTCTGAAGAGGGAAAGAAAGGAAATTTGTCAGTGTATAATCCCCTTCATGCCTCTACCTGCCAACACCGCCCTGCCTGCTATTCCTTATACCACCCCAAACCGCCCAATCATTCTGTGGTTTCAGGGTTCACCAAGGAGCAGCAAAAACATGTTATACAATGCACTTCAAGTGCTATCAGGTTAAACTAGAAAAGGGAATCCAGTTGGTGCGGTGGAACTTTCATTGCCTTCCTCCTCTGTGTCCCAGGTTCGATTCTCACCCAGGCTGAAATGGAAGTTGGGTTTTCAGTCCCTACCTGATAGAATGAGTTTATACATGTAGGCCTACCGGTACCCCTCCAGTTTTCTGTCCAACTCTGCCGCTCTCTTGATCCCAAACATTGAGTTTCCCTGATTATTTTCAGGACCAAACACATCTCACAATTTTAAAGAGATTTAAGACATGGTGCAACGGCAAATTTGATACCACTGTTAAACAATTTTTCTTCATTGTCTCTCAAGGTTTCTTCAGGATTTCAAAAATACCGTGACTTCCATGAATGCTCACTTAAAATTGAGAAATCTGTGGTTTCATAAGTATAGTGCGGAGCTCCACTCTTTCAATCAATCTGAATAACCCATAAACACAAGGTATCATAAATACTGTAAATAATACCGTCCATAGGGTTTTTATGCAGCATACAATATGTACATTTTTGTACATACAAACATACTGAACATGTACGTGATGATGTAGTCAATTTTTTTGTAAGCCCTTGAATTTTGATCTTCTATTTAAATACTGCCTACAGCACCATACAGGTAATTTCCATTTAATGAGTCTCTAAGCAGACAGGCAAGACCAAATTATTCACTTTTAAATTGCACTCAGCCAAGAGTGTACAATTGTGTTTTAATTAAACAAACAGGTAGACGCATGACTAATGAGTTACATGCATAGTCTACAGACGCTGATGTATTTTCTTGAATTGATGGGCCCACTCGTCCAAAGTAATTAGAGTAAAATTCCTTGCTTGCCTGAGTCATTAGGTGTGCAATTTGTCACAGACCTGTTTGATAACATCCCAATTACAGGTGACTGTCTAAGCTGACAGCACCTGACACTATTAAAATGCAACAGTAGAACTGTGTACTCACATGACTAGGTGTGTGCATGGTGAGTGTGTGGGCTCATGAATTATGTATTATTCATGAGTATCAGTGCAAGGTGAGTGTGTTGGTTGATGATTTATTCATCATTACATGACAGTAGGTACATAGTGAGTATGAAGGTCATGAATTATTCATCATTCATGACTAAGGGTACATGTACCGGTACATGGTGAATGTGTGGGCTCATGAATTATGTATTATTCAGGATTATCAGTGCAAGGTGAGTGCGTTGGTTGATGAATTATTCATCATTACATGACAGCAGGGTACATAGTGAGTATGAAGGTCATGAATTATTCATCGTTCATGACTAAGGGTACATGGTGAATGTGTGGGCTTATGAATTATTCCTAAATAATGACTGAGTGCACAAGTACATGAACAATGTACGTGTACTGACACAAGCTAATGAATTATTCATCACTTAATTGACTATATTACAAACGAATAATTGTTTAATATGTTCTAGGAATGTTATTGAATAAGTTCATTTGTATACCTCATCCCAGCAATACAGTATTTTCCGACAGTGTACCGGTATTTCAGTTACCGGTACATGTAAGCATAGACACATGCTCCCCCCCCCCCCCCCAACACAAAAACAATTTATAAACTGTATTCCCACATTCTGAATGAAAAAAAAAAAGTTCACGTTGCAACGTCTGTACATGTTTCAACAGATATAAGGGCATGGAGTCCCGGACTTGACATTCTTCCAACGAATTATGCAAAAAAGAATCTTGCTACAAAAATATCCCGAATACCTGGTTTCCGTAGCAACGCAAGTCAGTGATCCTCAACTTGACCAAGAACAGGTGTGAGGCATTTCACTGTCTGGGAGACCAAGTGATGGCAGAAAAAAAATTGTTTCTTGTACTTCAGAAGACCGTTTTGTTGGTCAGGATTCTTTTGGTTTTTTTGGTGGTACATTGTAAATGTAGACATGGTAGATAGCGACTTTTGTATTAAAAAGCGGTAATTGTGTTTAATACCAGAACCGTTAGCTTTGGGAAAAGCAAGCAAGTAAATACCGGTAACTTATCAGGGTTCGTAACAATGCAAGAAAAAACAACGACCAAATAATTTTTTTTTTAAGTGCCCACAGATATCTCTCAGAAATGAACACTTTCTTTTCCAAATTCATGGCCCTCTTTATCACTCACACCCATTTAAAAAAAAAATTCTATCACAACTTATCCAACATTTTCACTCTGAACAGAACAAAAATGCTTAAGAAATTCACAACTTTACCACAGGATAAAAAAGAGTACACCTTCTACGAACCTGAAGCAACTGTGGCAGGAAACAATTTGTTTTATTTACTGTCAGCCTGAACTCCAGGGACCATCCACCTACATGTGCATGCACCTCCGAGTGGTTATATTATTAGCATCACTGTGCAATTTACTGACATTATCAAATCACCAGAAATGAAATCTAATAACCCTTTACATAAAAACAGTGATAAAGAACCAGTATTCCAACCAGACTAGAGTATTATGCGCATTTTTAACTGAATTTAAAAAGTTCGGGGAAGGAAAGAAAGGAGAGGTACATGTACAGTAATCACATGACAAACATTGGAATTGGACATTTTGAAGTTAATAAATACATGTATAACACCTAATAAAAATTCCTAGAATCCCACAAATAAAACTGAAAAAAAGAGAGACATGTCATTTCACATTTCTTCCTAAAATATTCTCTCTTTTGTTTCACTACTTTTATACCGTTATACTGTACATGTACATGTATGTGTATACTGCGAAAAACATTCGCTGTATAGAACAATGTACTATCATTTCGCCTAGCACCTTCCCACCAATTGTTCCATTGGATTTGATTGCCTGATCTCCAAATCTATCAGATGATCAGATTAGATCATAAATCGCTTGACCGCTCCTGTGCTCAACATTTGAGACAATAAAACCTCCGATTTGATCCACTGAATAAATTTGTTCTTGGGATTTCTGTCAGTAATGTGTTTGGGAGGGGAGGGATCAGGCCACGTTTTATATCTACAGGCAACAGTCTTGCAACCTTCCAAAATCAGCCACACATTTTTGCCACATATAGCCTCAATCCTGCAAATTCTTCCATTTTGCAAAGAGGATTCTGGAGGATTTGGGAAGGTTAGGGTTAAAGTACCCAGCTTTCAGTGTAGTAAACAATAGCTCCATTAGCAGAAAGATGTGCGTGCTTAGCATTAGGCCTATATAGTAGTGAAATTGGGCACTGTCACTTGTCAGTGTGACAAGTTGATCAGAGTTCAGGACAGAATGGTGTTAGGATCTGTTTCACAGTCCATGCAGCGATCCCTGTCATTCGATCCCGAGGTGTATCCACATTTCATTCCCATGGCGATATTCATAACACTGGGCGATGATACGACTGTAATTGACACGAGGAAACTTGGAGGAATAATGACTTAGCGTAAATGTCAAAGTAAATGTCAAAATACACAACTGCTTCCAGAAAGAGTTTCTGGGGAATGGTTTTTTTAACAAAGTTGAAATTGAAGGACCTGTCATATTTCATTGTAATTTTTTTTTTTGAAGTACCGGTTGACGTGAGCCACAGCTACATGTACCAGATACATGGCTTCAAAAATGTATTGTTACTCCCAAATCAACCCCATTTGTGCATTCAAATAATTTCCATACATTTCAGAGCTGCAAAAAGCATACCTGTTCAATATACAAGTACATGTATACATGTAGTACGTACGCAAATTGTGTTTAAAAAAAAACAGACCAACGTATTCATGTGGGAATGACATGAATGAGTGTGTGTACTCTACATTACTGGACAAAATGAAACAGGAAAATTAAACATCTCAACAAGGGATTTTGGGCTTCAATCAGTTTGAATATCACTCAAATTCAAAATGATGTGTGTAGATAAAGCCTTCCATTTTTCAACCTACATATACGTGTACATTGTTGTGTAATTGTACGTGGATCATAAATCTTGGTTTTCATTTCATAGCCAACATGCATACAAAGACATGTGTTGCACTGTAAACCACATTTTAAAAACGTCATTGTACATATGATACTATCATCAGTCAGAACATGTTTGTCAGGAAATATGTCCAGGGGCCATTTGCAATACAATCACAAAAAGGCTGGTCCAAAAAATAAAACTATTTATCACCTTTATCGAAAATTCAAAACTCAATAGATTCTTCATTCAAACAATTTTGCCTGATTCGTGGAAAATAGTGAATGTGATGTGTACATGTACCGTATGTACAGTGAATTATTTCGTATACATGTACCAACAACGTTACAATGAGTTTCATATTTTATAACAAACATATCCTGTCAAATATATGTACTTGTAAGTGTGAACTGATTTTTATGCATTCATACTTTTTCTTCTGTTTTACTTTCGCAAACCTAAAGGCAACAAGATGCCAATAAAATGCATGTTTCCAAAAAAAAAAAAAAAATGTGAACCCTGTTGCGTAACTAGACTTATTGTTTGTATGGCCACTCAAAATGACAAGGCACTTGGTCTTTTCTGAATTCTGGCCAGTTGTTGGCTATGAATTACCCGCCTGACTAAACGTCATTCAGCCCCATGTAATTGATGGCTACACTGTGTCCAAAATAATGGGCATAATCATTGCTAATATGATTTCTCCAAGTTATAAAGAATGTGCGATGGGACTGATGGGGACCGGTGTGATGGGGACCGGGCGCTACTTGCAGTATGTCCTGTACAAACGGCGTTGGCGAGCTTGACATTTAGCATTCACCGAATCAAATTTATGGGCAATCTGCTGGTGTGAAAATTCAGGAACTGTGTGAATTTTCTTTTGAAACTGAACATAACTTTAAGAAATTTTGTATGACTATGACTCATTACAAGATGCTACCGGTAGGCTTGAATATCATCATTTTTTGTAATCAATACTATAATCTTATTAGTGATGGAGGAAAACGCACAATGTAAATGGGCAGGAAAAAGAACTGCATTAGACAAATAAAATGCACAGTGATAGTGTGTGGGCAGAGAAATACTGCTTCTAGCTGTTATCCAAATAAACTCAGTAAGTGCACACGCATGATGAATACAATGTTCAGCACATCATAATTCAGAATGCTAAATACCGGTACGTGTACAGATTCCATGTTTTCTTAAACCTTTATATTACCCTGTGTGATGACACAATTTTCATTAAAACTCAGTAGATACCGTACATGTATTTTTAATTAATCTGTGAAGAAAAAAAAACAATGGGGGGTGTGACGATGAACAAAAATTCAGGTACATGTATGTACATCTGTCTTTCTAAATTTTACATTCTCTGAAGTCCTGTTTCCTGATGACAGCCATTTTGTTAGGGAAAAAGGTTGCGCTTTCACAAAATTTTGGAGAACTTTACGGATAATTCAGTCATTATGTATCATTAACATCCTCTACAACTACATGATGTCGCGCAAGAAAAATATGAGTTTAGGCCTACATACATTTATACATGTACGTAGTTATATACACAAAGTTTCAAAATGTAATATTTTGTGTAAACAGGTGGAAGTTAAATCCCTTTTTATTCCCTTCACAGCAGGTGTCATGCAAAGAAAACTAACAAACACAATGGATACCTCTCATGTTTACAGTAAAATACAAAAGACCATGGTTTTATCAATGTACATGGGCATGTACAATGCTAGAGATTCCCTTACGTACTGTGGGTGCGCATGGCTGACTGAATACATGTACACTATGCACTCCCACACAAAACAGGCTCAAGTGTGCTATGTACACAGTGGGTTTGATTGAACAGGGCTCTGAAACCCCTCAGGCATCCAGGCTGCCAGCTTTGTCTGGGCATGGAGGTCTAGGGTGAGCCCCGGTTAAAACATGTCAAGAGCTTGGAAAAGATGAAGCTGTTCTCTGGTTAGATACAGAGTTCTGTAAAGGTTTCAGGGTGGAACTGGGAAGAAAAATGGGCAACTGGGTACTGCAGAATGTTTTTAAAGTTAAACACTGTCTATTGACTAGAGCGAGGTTTGAACCTGCGACCCCTAGATTGCTGTTCCAGTGCTCTACCAACTGAGTTATCCAACCCTATGTTGGCAGTTCCCCATTTTGTTACTGTCTTTGTTCAAGGGATGCTAGTCAGAAGCCCTAAACTAGTTATGGAATGTAGCCAGGGATCACGCCCAAAGTCACGATGCTAGCATCATTAGCAATGCTGCAAACCTGGGAAATAGCACATGGGATCACTCAGACTCAGAGATGATACGAGAATGTCGACAACATTGGACTTGCGTCTACGAAACCGTGATGTCAACAAATCATCTTTAATTCTCTGTCTACGTGTGAATCACTTAACCAACTTATGAGTCACTAAGTAATATCTGAAACCAGGTCAAGAATTCCGTCATTAATAATAACCTAATTATAGCCGTCAATGTACAGTAATAAAAAAAAGCACACTGCCAAAGAGTGATAAGCCAGTAATGGGACAGCTTATCTTCACATAATTTCACGCCAGTGCTTTACAGGAAAAGTTAGTTTAAAAATATCACATGTTGTAGCAAAAAGCTGCCAATCGCAAGGAACTAACCACAAGCACTGCAGTAAATGTACTGACACATTTTTTTCTTTTTTTTTTTTTTTTTTAGACATGCTTACTAAAATCCTGTGCCTGTGTAATAAAATGTTGTAAAAATGGTCTATTATTTGATATCATCAAGCAGTATTGACATGTCTGTTGAATGGAATTGAAAGAGATTTCGCAATGCGCTCTTTTCTTGAGAAAAAAAAATCATGTTGAGCACATTGGGATTTTGTTTTGTTTTAATGGTTTTGGCTGGTTTTGTCTTTGCTTTTACTTAAATTGTTTAACTTTAGATGAGTGAGGCATTTCAGAAAATTTAGAGACTACCGGTATGTGTTACTCATATTGTACGGAAGTTTAGCACTTCCATAAAAATATGTAAAGTGCATTTAAGAGTCTGGTTTTGTGAGTCATGACCAGTAGGAGCAGACATGTAGGAACTGGAAAGGTCATGGGAGAGGGTCAATACCCAACCATGGCAACAAAATCCACCAATCATCACCTCCCTTCCATGAATACCACAATGACTAATTTGCAAAGAGGCTTTTATTGGGGCTAGCTAAAAGGAAAGCTTGAATTAGATGGATTAGACTGAGTCGCATAAACATCAATTGTGCATAATTGCCAGGTTTAATCTTGTTTTCTTTCTAAACCTTGGGGTGTCTGACAGAAACACAGTTCAGTTTAAGGCCAAAAAAAAATGGTTCTGCTTCTGGTTACCCTACCTTCCTTACCAGGTATTTTGACAGCCCCATATATTTTTCTTTTTTGGGGGGAAAATGAGGAAAAAACACTGAAAACCATCAACCTTTTATTTACCCTTGACTACACGCAGACACCTCCTTTTCAAATGACATGTACAATATGTAATCAGAAACATAACTTTATTTTGCCAAACTACATGTTCGCTGCAACACGAATAATGTTTCTGGCTTTTTGCTGAAATACACTTCACAATGTGCAACTTGGAATTTAGAATGTTAACATCCAAGTACGTTCTAAAAAAAAGGGGGGAAAAACCTTCTAAAAAGCACCATGACTTCTATGCAACCGTAACTGTAGCATGTGTGATTCCTTGTTCACATACATGTAATGTGAGAAATCAAAATCAAACATTGCTAAAAATATAATATCATAAACTGCACTGGAATGCAAAACATATCGGTACATACATGTACAGTACATATGCTGGTATCTACATTGTACTAGCCTGAGACGACCTCATTTTTCAACAAGTTTGATAACCCCTTTTGTCTGTTTATTTCCTGTGCAAGCTAGTATGACTTCCTCTGTATCACTGATCCAGGTTTTTATTGCGGAAATCGCCTTGGCCAAGTTTGGCTGAACTGTCATCCAAACGGTAAACAATCTTCGGTGTCTGGAACTACGAACGCAGATTATGACTAAATAATCATGTAAACAAATCAAATTGTTTGACAAGTTATGAACAAATTACTCTAAGCCGGGGGGTTGCTGGCTCAAAACCTGTTCCATACAATTTCTTTGTTCAACTTTAAAATTATTATAATGCATCTAGTCAGTTCCCGTTTGTGGTATATTTGAAGGAAAAAAATACCTTTAACAGATATTCATAAATACCTGAGACAATTTACCCATTCCTATTGTTCGAGAACCCAAGTGCAAGCTTTTTTTTAGATTTGCAGAACTTTACAAACCACAAATTTGTCCCATGAGATGCACGTAATTTTTATGTTCGAGTACATACTGTGATGTACATGTTTGTCGACATCTCTTAACACCCTAATCCCCAGTGCAAGTTATTGCAACAGCTCCATCACTCATCACCAACCCACACTTGGCAATGCCCCTCTCTATCTTAAGCAACACCGAATGGGAAATACGTACGCACGTCATCCGATACATGGTTCAATTTTGTGGCCGCTAAATATGGTGTCTTACTTGACCTTTTCCACAGCTACAAAATGTAGTTCTGCAGTATTTCTGCAAATGCTTTAGTTTTCAACTCTCCGTGTGTTCCTTGGAGGGGTGACCGCTGCCTCAATCCTTCAAAATCCTCCAGCAATCACTGACAATATGTTGAGGCAGAGCCAGTGACATCCTGGAGCAGTGCAGAGGATTTCAAGTATAGTGTAGGCCTAATTTTAAGCACGGCTGAGAATAAACAACACATGGTCCGGTCTGAGACCTTGACATGGTGCATCCTCCAAGATCAGCTGCACATTTTTGCTGTATAGCCTCAATCCTTCAAAAGCCTCCACTGATGCAAGGAGGATTTTGGAGGATTTAGGAAGGCTAGGGTTAATTAATTAATCTAATTTGTAATTCAATACAAATCCATCAGCAGGCTGATGTTGCTGAGACGTTATCAGAAAGTGACTTTTTAAAAATTGTGACGGATTTTCACAATACTTACTGGTACGTGTAACGTGATAACGGAATCGTCCAGCATTTGAACTTTGTGCGGAGCCAGTTTGCCCCCCTTCCGGGCCGAGGCCCGGGCCGTGCTGTCCCTCATAAGAGACGGGTGCTCCGAGTTCCTATCGGTGGTGCTGTAGGAATGAGTCGGGGTACCCGTCGGCGTGTAGTTGTAGCCGTAGGACAGCGAGGCTTCGCGGTCGTTGAGCTGATCGTGGCTGCTGCCGGCGTAGGTATGGTTGCCGCCCGAGACCTGGGACAGCGCCGCCATGGAGTCGTTACCGCTGCCATAGTGCGGACCCTCGGCCATAACGTGGGTGTTCATGATTGGTGGAGTGGGGTTGCGTTAGAGGGCGGACATGCACAAAATCTTTGGGGTCATTTGAGGTCAGAATTCGACACGTGGCATCGCTTGTCGCTCAGTTCTTCCTGGACAAAATAGAAAAAAAGGAAAACAAATGAGTGATTTTCAAAAGACTCTTCACAGGATGCAACTTTACACTTCATTGATTTCGCTTTTTGCTTTTTACTACTTTAGTATTTACTTTCTTAAAGTTTAGGCACTCTCCTGAAGACGGTCAGAGCATACTGACCGGAACGTCGAGTTTATACCTCCGGTTCTTTTCAGAACCATTCTCTTAGTTGAGAAATTATTCGCACATGATGTTTCCGCAAACCTTTCATTATTTCAAAAGACTGTGAAATGCCTGTGATTTCCTTTCAATTTTGATTTTTGTTCATCGGTCAGTTTCACTTCAAACTTTGTAAGAGAAAATGAACAGCCAACCTGAAAATAAGATTCTCTTCGCACTTTCCTCTTTTAAAGTTCAAGGTAAAGTATGTACATGTACATACATGTATATGTGTAAATGCTATACGCATTAACATTGTACAGCCACTGCTATACAAAACAGTTTAGAAAGAGCACCAAAGTATCCAATATCCATGTCTGGACCGAGCCTGTCTGTGTTTAGATTTGGACCGATTCATTATTTGCACACCATTGTGTACTGCATAAACATGCCCTTTGTTCCTTTCATTCTTCAGTTTCAATTGTTCACTGCTGTACAAACTAGTCATTGGAATAAAGGATTTCTCGAGAATAAATACATGTACATGTACAATGTACATGAGCATGAGCATAGGGCCCTGCCAAAAAAGCCTGGCGGTGGTTTATTCAGACTGCTAAATGTAACAAACAGGATGTGGCGCTATAGGCCTACAGAATGCTATACAAATTAAAACATTTTGCGTAAAACAGTACATGTAAAGTGATTATCGTGTAATGCGCTCTTTGAATTTTTGAGCTGAAGAGGAGAATTATTTTGTTTAATATAAATAAAGTTGAACAACCACCAAATTTACTGGAGCAGAGTTTGAACCTGTGACTTTTGGATGACTATTCTGGTCTTCTACCAACTGAGCTACTGGTATCCAAACCTATATGTTGGCCATATGTTAATGTCTTTGTTCAAGGGTTTTGGTTTTATATTGTGAAATGGAGGCCATTCAAAGAGCCAATATGATGTACAACTTGGCCTTGTACATGTAGGCACTATACTTTTGCAGATACATGTACAAGTATCTAAATTTCAGAGGTCATGCTACAAAATTTTATAGTCAAAAGTGTGTTGACCTGTATCTCAAAAACTAATCAGCCACATTACCAAAGATTTCAGTTCTGGGGGTTTCTCATATGGGCCAATTATCACACCAAATAGCATTTCAATCTGTGAAGGTCGGTTGAAAAATAGTGTTGAATTGACACAGAATGACTCTGCAGTGTAAATTGATTATATAAGCAGGGCACAAAAACTAAGACTAGGGGGAAAAAGGCCCCCCCCCAAAAAAAAAAAAATACATGAGTTGTTAAAAGTGTGCATAAAAAGTCAGACCATGCCTAGATTTGAATTTTTTTTTACATTACATGTATATATCAAAATGAAAAACATGTATGCAGGTCGGTTATGAGATTACATATAAGTTCCATGATTACTAACTGAAATTTTCCCCACCACAACTTTGTTTTGGGAACAATTTATTTATTGAGTAACAGCTTTGGTAGCTGTATGCTCGGTAACAGCTGGCGTGGGTGATTTCAGAGCAATGACCCAGTCCATTGTTTTCAAGTGATTGTTACCAAAGTACAAAGGTCATGTGACGACTGACGAGATTAGGGATTCAATAGGGGTGGCCATGCATGCGTAATAAAAGTTTCTGTGGCGTTGTCCAAAAAGTACTGAACGGGTCACAATTGTGAGGCTGACCTTAAAAAACTTCAATAATGCATTGATGTGGTAGACTTGGGTCAGAGATTTTGACAACAGTTTGCGGCAGCAAAAGATGAACAATTGGGATTGGAAAATTAAATTCAGGAACAATTCAGTAGAACTAGAACGTTCAATGGAAAAAACACATTGCATCAACCTATTTATCATGGTAATTAATAATTATAATAGAACAGACTAGGAAACACAGTTAATTTTCAATTGATCCTCGCCTCATAGTTTAATTTTTAACACAGAATTCATCTTTATCATATTCGATCTCGGGCCATTCCATTCGATGAATGATGACACTTATGTTGAGGACTTTTGTCATAATTCTCTTTGATAGGCAAAGCATGTGTGTGACCCAACAGAATTATTTCCAGTCTTTGCACTGACTCATCAAATTCTGAAGCCCATGATCGTACGCTTGTCAAAGTTAGCAAAGAATAACTTCAATCTCCATTGGCTATTTGAGTATACAATAAATCCAATGTGAATGAAAAACCAATGAAACATGCCATGGCTGACATCACAGAAGTCATTGAGATTTCAGTCAACACATGTTCAATGAGCCATGTTGTTCTGCAAACATGGCACAGCAATTGATCAAGAACTTGCTACATACCCACTGTAAGGTGAAGGATACAGCATTGGCATGCTGCACAAAATGATTGATCGTCAACAAAGAATAACATGAGACGCCAAGGTTTGTTGTACATGATATACAATTACATTGTAGCAGGTTTCATTTTGTCAAAGCCTATTCCTTTTGATATGCAAACATACATGTAATGTGGGTGTTCTGGCAAAATGAGACAGAACTGAGCATAGGCCATAGTGGAGAAAACTGCAACCCCCCCCCCCCCAAAAAAAAAACCAATTAGGGTACTTTTTTCTCATTTTTTTATATTTATTGATACATTTGTATTTGTACTCTTTGATATGTCTACAACACATATTTTGAAGAAATAATATAACAATTGTGGAACAAAAGTGTTTTTAGGAAAAAAACAATTGGTTTCATTTTCACTAATACTAATCTCGAAACCTCTAGGCCTTTTTTACCTTTTTGACATGTCGACAAATGCCAATTTTAAACAGCCATAACTTGTCAACAAAATATCTGATTGAAGTGCAACAAACAATATTGTAAGGAGAATTTTGTGCTCTTTCCTAAAACCATTAGAAACCCTTTCAGCCTCCGCCCAGTTCTGTCTCTTTTTGCCAGAATGCTTCGCATGTGTGCATCGTTCCTCATGGTTGGAATGTGTCCTTTCTCTATGGTTGGAAGCATGGGTGATGGAGCACACGCTCTCCCTGCAGTTTTCTAGATAAACACGGCAGGGTGGCACTTCCTCACAGTAGAGTCACTGTGAGTCACGTTACCAACTGGTGGAGACATGGAGTGTGTGTGGGCAATCTGTGATACTTGATAGACAGCAACTGCAAGGCGAGATCTTCTAGCCTTCTCATCATTACTGTAGACCAGTTTGCGGATAGATAGGGAGTGTGCAGTAAAGAATGGTGCATGTTGCACAGGGTTAAATGGCCAGACCTTTAGACATTGCGGAGTAATTGCAGAATACCTCACCACTTGGAAATACACCCCTAAAATCTCTGGCTACGCAGTTGGAATCACTGGAAAAGAAACAATTCAAGTACATTGCCAGCTACGCGGATACTGAGTAGGGGTCCCCTTGAGAACGAAGCAACACAAAAGTAATGGGAGTTGCTGAAAAAATTCTAAGTCCAAACCAACTCCCCTGTTGCCGGCTACGCGGATACGGAGTGGGAGTGCAGTGGAGCATGACGTGTGTAGGCCTAGTACGTACAGGTAGCGCTGAGAAGGTGCATAGATCGAGTGGCAGGGTATTCTGCAATTGTGCCGACATTGCTTGACCACTGATCATTTTGTCAGATAAAAAAAATGGATGTGCGTAGTCCAATTTTTACGATACAAATGTGGCATTCTAAGTAACATGCTGTTCAGGAATTTGAAACAATGCATGTGTTAGCTCCAACTCCAAGTCTTTTGTGCTTGATGATTTTGACCATGGAGGAATAAGAACACATCCCCTGATGCAGCACTGCATTTTGAATGGATGCGTCCGTTCTTCAAGTTCACAAAGTCGTCTCATAGTAGACATGGTAGAATCACTAAACATTATTATGGTGATTGTGCAGTGTACTGTGTAGGGCCCCTCTTTAGTTTTGATCAAATTAGAGTCAAGGGTGTTTTATATCATTCCCAAATGACTTTTTCAACCTAAAAGCAGACTTCTCTTAATTCTAATGACATCATTTTTAGTAATTATAAATATGATAAAAGATCAAAAGCCCAGTTTCCTTCTAGTTGCTATATACACAGTATAAACAGGCATGACAGGTTATAAATGTTGTAACAAGAAGAAACAAATGTCATAAAGGAAACAATATTTTAATTTAAACAAAACAAATTTACAACATTTACCATAACACACCCCCCCCCATACGCCTTCTTGCATCTTGCATTAGAGTACTCTCCTAAAAGCATTGCTGCTGTCCTGGAGAGGGTGGGTTGCGATTCCATGTGTGCTCTTTGTGTGTGCTGTTAGGGTGCTTATCGGATGGTGGTATTGTCAATTTGTCCTGAGAGATACAACTGGTACTAGCTCCATCCCTCTTATAGTTGGGCTACGTTGTATTTTCTCTTTCTAAATGTATTTTCTCTTTCTAAATGTTATCAATTTTCAAAGAACTTTTGTTTCACAGTAATGTACGCCATCTTGCTGACACTCAAGTGACAGGGCAATTTAACACTCGTTGCTGTGCGGTCATTCCAAAAATAATGCACCGGCGTCTAGCCGACATCTGCCTTCTTTTAGCCCCGTGAACAAGATGGCGCATATTTCATTGTGTTTCCGTGAAACCCCTTACTTTTTATTTTGTTATTTCAAATAAATTCAATTTCAAATGACACAGGATAGGGGGGGGGGAATGAATTACAAATCCAGCTATTTATTTCTAATTTATTTTTATTTTTAAAATGACAATAACAATATTAAAATAAAGAACAGTTAACACACCCTAAACTCCTTGCAATTTTCTCCCTCGTCATTTTCGTACACACACGTAATTTAATGTGTCGGAAATACAAGTCTACCCCCTGCTTTATACATTAACAATTTGTTTTGTACACGGTTCCCGTTGGCCATGTTGGCCGCGCAAACCGACCCAACTTGGATTGCGCAAAACATTGCTCCTTTTGCAAAAGATTCAATGTTATTTTCAACAAATCACACAATAGTTAAAAGCTAGACACTTACCACTTACAGATCGTGATGGAAAACGAATTTCTGAACGGATTAATAATGTCCAAAGTAATGAATCTTCACCTCAAATCCATCGCAAAAGTTCGCTCCACAATCGCCTCCACAACCCACACGTACGAAAATAGCAGTGTACAAATGTTACGCCCAAATGTAGCCCAATATCATTTGTTGTACAATGCAACTGGAGATACAATGTAGCCCCATTAGGCGTAATCAAGCCCAAAATGACTTGCGTGTCAGGCTTGACAATTAAACCTAGCAAGTAGATCCTTTGTACTTACTCCCTTATTTTGACAAATTAATTATTTAAATTTTGAATCATCAATGTTTATAAAGTACACAATGAATATTTTCGAATTGAGATTCATTTTAGTCTTATATTGTGGAAATTAATATGTTTATTAATGGATTTACGTACTACTAAGATTTATAAATAGAATAATTAAAACACGGGTGCAGCTTTTAAATCTAACAGCCACTTTTTAGAGCGGCTAAAACAGCATGGTGCTGTCAGATGGGGAAGTTTAGCTATTGCTAATAATGCAAGCCTTCAGGGAGCCGTACACATTTATAACTCTTCGCTGTTAGTGTTAATTGATGTAAACACGTACACGCGAGTGGTGTTCGCTAGCGCCTGGACTTTCACTCAGTTCAGATTTTCATTTTTTTAAAGGATCGTTCCTTGTGCTTGTTCAGAGCTGAGCGGGACTCGAAAGGTTATAGATTGATCCTTTGTTTTAAGTAAAGAATGCTTAGAATTAATTGCAAACAACCTAGCCTGATCTGCTGATCTGATGAATGTCGGACACTTCGCCCCATTTCCACGTCGCCCCATGTCACTTCGCCCCTAACCACTTCGCCCCATCCCCACTTCGCCCCATTCCCACATCGCCCCATCCCCGCTTCGCCCCATTCCCACTTCGCCCCATCCCCACTTCGCCCCATCCCCACTTCGCCCCATCCCCACTTCGCCCCAGCCGTTACATGTAAAAAAAAAATCTCATCTATTTTATTGGCTTAAAAAAAAAAATTTCAACAGATTCACTAATTGCTAACCAACGGAAAGAATTAGCCCATCACCAAATGAACAATTCATAACCAACCTCTCAAGCTATAGGCTCTCCCCTACCGAGATAAAAGCTTGAAGTAAAAGATCCAACTTTGTTCCCAACCCGGCTATACCAACCCGTCTCCCACTTATCTGAGAACGACAATACCTTTGACATCCTTATTTCACTCTTGGAGGAACCAATCTCATCTAAATGAAGTTGTAAGTGTCACATATCAGACAAATTTTGACGGAACATTTTCCTCAAGGCAGTGAGTTCCTTTTAACTCACCGACCCATACCTACGGATTCTTTTGAATCCAGCGGCTGATGAGTCCCAGAAGGGACGAATATGCATTCTGCTATTGCCCTCAGGTAAAACCTAACCCACCCCACTGCCTGGGTAAACTTGGCTACGGTCAAAACTTCCATTGATTTCATCTTCTTATTTCTACCCAATTTTTGAGACCCCTTTCATGTGTCTCAATTGAAGAACATAAACCACACAATGTCACACCATCGAATAACTCAATGTGTTGTTCTTACGCACATTTTTTAGTCACAAGCCAATAGGAGAGGCGTCTCTGAATGGGATAGAGCCATCATTTCTCTCATCTGTGTCTCGAGCACCTCATTAGAGAGTTTGTATTTTTTTTAAGTTTCTAAAATTGGGAGCATTTACTATCTGGGGTCTTTGGCAGTTTATTTGGTCTGCACCCCTAGCCTTCACCTTTTTCATACTACATGGGGCGAAGTAGGGATGGGGCGAAGTGGGGATGGGGCGAAGCGGGGATGGGGCGAAGTGGGGATGGGGCGAAGCGGAGATGGGGCGATGTGGGGATGGGGCGAAGTGGGGATGGGGCGAAGTGGTTAGGGGCGAAGTGACATGGGGCGACGTGGAAATGGGGCGAAGCGTCCGACACCCGATCTGATGGTCTGCTCAAAAAGTTAAGTGCGGCCTAGGGAGGGGCGTGGCAGAGCAGGGAAAAGGGGGGGGGGGGAGAAACACAACCTGGACAGTCTCGTCTTAGTACCTCCAGCTCATACTGGGCCTGTGGTAGAGGATGGAAAGAGTTCCATACTATAATTATTATTACTACTATGTAAGGAGCGCAAAAATTCTTAGAATACTTTAACCTTTTCTGTCATGGCCCATAGACTTAGTGCAGGAGGTCTGAGTGGTGGCCCAGTATGGAATTCTTTCATAGAGGATTTATGTTTGGTTGGTGGGAAACCGGAAAATAACTTAAAGACGTGAAGATGGGTAATATTTGGGAGGGGGGGGGGTGTTTATTATTTCAATGCATGTATGTCCAATTTTTTAATTTATAATTTTGTCCCCATTTTTCCCTCGGAAAAGATGGATATTTTGAAGCCACCTATCATCTACATCGACGGACGATGTTATCGACAGAATCCAGTGCAGAGACCCGCAGAGTGGGCGGAGCCTGATGATGAGGAGATGGAGGGATACGGGGAGGAGTATGATGGTATGTGAAGGAACCAAGGATGCAGGAACATGATGAAGATGATACGCCCCAACTATGGCAATGGTCACAACTAGTAGTTGGGACAGTCCAAACAATACTTGGAGAATTCCCCACTATAGTTCGGACTATCCTAACTATAGTTGAGATCGTCCCAACTATAGTGGGGACGATGTCATAGTTGGGGTGAAACAAAGATAATGACGATGAAGATGATTAAGATGATAAGGCCAAGTAAAAAAGTATCTAGTGTCTCGTGCAGGGTTTTGGAAAAAAAGGAAGAAGTAGGCCCTTTTTTTTCCAAAGATCACAGATTTTCCAAGATGGGGGATGGATTCTTCCATTTGATACTTTTTGTATCCAAAGGAGCTGTCAACCTTTCTTACAGATTTTGAACTTACATTCAAGCTACAGTACAAGTTTGCTAGAAACAAATAAAAAGACAAAATATATTGCAAACATATGACCTCCCTCCCCCCCCCCCAAAAAAAAAGGAGGCGGGGAAAAGGGGGACAAGAAAGCTTTTTATGTGGCCTTATGATGAGTTTGGGATGAGTTTGATGATGATGAAAAGGAAAATAGCATTAAAATGTAATTTAGATAACCCAAAAATGATGTCTTTGTTTACAGAGTACCAAACAGAAGAAAGTTGTGACTTTCTCGACATCAAACAAACCGACAAGGGCTACAGCTTGACCATGGAGGTACCAAGTGGCTTCTTTGGTTACATCATCGGGAAGCAAGGAGAGACGAGGAAGAGGATTGAGCGCGAGACCAAGACCAGAATCCTCATCCCTAACAAGGCTCAGAAGGAGGAAGATGAGATTGGTAAAGAAGTTTCAGTAAACTGGGAACATTCATCGGGATGCTTGCTGTTTTCTTGTGGGACAAAATGTTAAAGACATCATGAAAATAAAAATACACCAGTATAAAAATGCTTTTGCCACAAAAGGGGAAATATATTTAGTGAATTTCTCACTGGAAACTGGTCATTATCTTTCTCCTCCAGTCATTCGTGGGGAGCAGAGACCAGGCATCATCTCAGCCAAGACTAGAATCGATGTCATTGTCTCGTCAGCGAGACAGAAGACGCCATTCACTCACTTGCTGACCATGCCCTTCAACAGTCAACCTACGCAGGAACGCTTCCAAGACTTCAAGGAGGACGTTCTGAGAGGGAGTAGACGAGTAAGTGTTTGGACAAGGCGTTCAATGTTACGGAGGAGTAAATTTAGACAGATCACATGGTCGTCACAAGTCCATCACATGTCATCCTGTCCCAAGGCACCTCACAAGCTATTCAAATGAACTGTCACAGTGAAAAAGGCCTTCCTTTGTTGCAGGATAACCAAAAATATATATAGCATGGGATTTTCGAGTACTACAGAACTTGACTTTTCATCTTGAGTGAAATTATCAGACTGTAGCATAGATAGCTAAACCTGAAACCCAAAGCACCGTGGAGTGTCATGGCCTAGCGGTTAAGAGCACCGGACTCATGCTCTGGTGTTTCAGAGGCAACAGTGGCGTGGGTTCAAGCTCAGGTGGACACTTGTGTCCTTAAGCAAGGCACTTAACCATTATTGCTTCGTCCTTCAGATGGGACTTTAAGCCATAGGTCCCGTGTGTTGTGTAATGCAATGCACGTAAAAGAACCCAGTGACACTTATCGCTAAGAGAAGGGGTTTGCCCCGGTGTTTCTGGCCTCCTGTATAAACTCCCACGTGGAGTATTTAGTAGATGAACCAACCAAGAACCACCAAGAACCAAGTCCATCACAAGTCCTCCAGTCCCAATTTGACTCACAAGCTATTCAAATGAGCTTTGACAAAGGCATTCCTTTGTTATTGTTCATCCACTATTTCTTGTGACTGGACTTGATTTAATTATGACTGGACTTGTGAAGTTACAGATTGGTTTTCTGGGAATTGGAGCATTTTGAAGAAAAAAAAACAATTTGGAAGTTAGGTTTCATTTGCCTCATGATGAAGAAAGTTGTGTCTGTTTCTCCCCAGGATGAAGGCTTGCATGAGAGCTTATTCCAGAAGCCAGCCAAGTTACATCTGACTGTGGGCACTATGGTACTGATGTCCAAGAAAGAAGTGGTAGGCAGGTTTTTTTTCATACCCAAAGTTTTACCCCCAAAACATTTTTAGAGCCTAAATAGTAGATAATGTGGGCCATTTACCCAAAAGACAAGGCAATGAAGAAAGATTGTAGGTGCCGGTAAGTTTCATTCAAATTTAAAGTTTTGTTTTCATTTATTTTATCTTGTTTTTAACCATTGCTTTTATATCTGTTTGTTAGGCCCAGGCAAAAGAACTTCTCGAAAAATGCAAAGAGGAAATTATCAAGTAAGAACTTGTTCGATTCTATGAGAGTATAATTAAGTTTAACTCATTATGGTCAAAATGTTCATGATTACTTAAAGATCTTTTTAAAATGGCATTGCTTTGAAAAGCTCAAGTTTAGCAATGTTTAAGACCTTTCCCCTCAAATCTTTTCTGTCAGCTGAAGCATTTTCACTTTGTTCAGTTTTTGAGTAATATCAACTTGTGAATTTAACTGAACTTAACAATGATCTATTTCAACATTGGGGTTTGCCCTTCACTGACGTACTTTTTATAAACTCAACCACTGAGCTTGCCGGGGTCGGCTGGCTGGTTCGAATCTGATATATCAGATTCGAACCAGCCAGCCGACCCCGGCAAGCTCAGTGGTTGAGTGGTAAGATGTTTGCACTAGCAAGCAGGAGGTCGTTGGTTTGAGTCCCACCCGAGTTATTTATTTTTCTCACAATCTATTTCAGCTTGGTGGCTGAGTGGTAAGAGCGGGCACTGCAACCAAACTTTGCATACGATTAATGTTCTCTTTGTCTTCTTTCATTGCAGACCGATCCTGGGTGAATCCTTTCTGCTGGTGAAGCTAAAAGGCCTGGAATACATGAATGATGAGCCGGAAAAAGTGGACGTTCTGTACGGGAAGGCAAAAATGAAAGACGGTTCCAACAAGTAAGCCACTGCTAGGATTTAGCATAGAGGCCAGTTTATGCTTTGCTTGCATGCAAATAGGAATTGCAATTGGGGCTCCCACAAACTGTGACTAGTCCTGGTGTTTTTGCTGGTCACAGAGGGTCGGCCTAGTGCCGCTTTTGTCCCTATCTCACTTACAGACTGACAGATTACTGTCACTTGTGAATCAGACAAACTCAAGCCTCACCTTAAAGGTATGGTAGATCATTTGTCATTTGTGCATTTTTTCGTTTGAGGCAGCAAAAGTGCTCAATATCTATAGACAGGTGCTTAACAACTAGCCTGATGAAGTTTTAGCTCAGTGAATGCTGTATATTCCAAGGCAACAATATTCTAGGATCTCGATTTCAATTTAAAAGTTGCCGAGTCATGTTTTGAAATGGGCCCGAAATCAGCATCCGGGACGAGCGGCAGCCGATTGCAGCTACGTGATGTCACTCACTGAACCGCCAGTGTGCGTCGTGTCAATGCTTGTGCGCACCCATTCACGGATTCACCGAACTTGAACTACTAACTGAAATTTCCAAAAATGTGTCACATGACACATCTTTGGAAATGGCCTTCTTTAATTTTCTTCAAAATGACAGCATGCCAGAAGGAATAATTTCACAGGGAGTTTAGTATCATTCCTATCTTTAAAACCAAGTAAGCTGTTCAACAATAATTTTGTCAATTGCCTTTTGGATAGCTGCAAATGATCTACTCTACCTTTAACCCAAAATGTGACTCAGATGACTACCTGGTTCCCTTTGGACCCGATTGGTCTGGAACCAGTTATTATCTAGTCTTGTTTAAGAATCGCTTTTTTTAAACCAAATACAGACTACAACTCATCTGTGATAGTCTAGTGGATCGCTTCGTCTCGGCTGGTCTGATGCAGCGTGACTACGACCGAGTCAAGATCCACGTCACGCTCATCAATACGCTCTTCAGGAAAGAACCGGATGCTGAAGATGGTTCCAAGAGAGTCAAGGGCAGGAGGGAGGGCGGAGCCGAGAGGGTCAGGGAGGCGTTCGATGCGACGAGAATACTCAACGTGAGATATTATGCAGATTTGTTCAGTTTCTGCATGAACGTCAGGATGATTTATTTGAGGGATTTGTAATAATAATAGTAACATGTTCTTATATAGCACTTTTAACTGAGATCAAAATGCTTTACATTATTATTACTCCGATCATTGGGCCAATAAAACATTCCAAATACCATCTCAGCTCCCTGGGGAGTATACAGCTCGATGCTGCCATTTTTCAGCGCAAAGCAGCTAAATCATTCACAAAAACCATCTCAGCCCTCACAGGTACCCATTTACTCCTGGGTGGAGAAAAGCAATGAGTGAGAAAGTTGTATGCGTATGTTGAGTGTGTCGTGTATTCGTATGTGTCGAAATTCAACAAAAGCTGTAAAGTTTATATCAAATAAGAAAAGGTTTTATCAAATAAAAATGCTGAAGTGGTTGGTCATTCCAAAATTAAATCTGTCAAATTTGACATTTTGTTATTTTTCCCAGGAATTTCCGGACTACTCCTTTGGAGATTGCCTGATCAGTTCCGTCCAGATATCACAGCGAGGTTCCTACGGATGCGATGGTTACTACCTGCAGGTTGGCTCAATATCGTTACCATGACAACTGCATCATTGGGCAGAAGGAGTTTATAGGACTTTGACATCTCAAGAACTTGCCGAGCATTTTCCAGCTTATGAGTGCATGGACACTTAGTTATTCCCAAGAACTAAATGGGTTTCGGAACTTTGATGATGGACTTTTGAGAGGACTTCTTTTTGAAAATCTTCCAGTTATCAGATTTCCCGAGGGAAGCTGAATTGTATGAAAGAATCGGTTTTATGTGGTGGCCCTAAAAGAAATTTTGAGAAAGGATTGACATCCTGACTTTTTGAAAAGCAGCCATCTGGAATTGGTTTAAAGGGCCAATAAAATGCAATTTATAATTGCAGTCCTTAAAAATGCACCTTTGTATCCCATTTAACCTTGTTCTCAATGTTTGTTTTGGATATTTTGTTGCGTTTTTGGTTTTTATGCTCATGCAAATTTCCATATTTATGAGCAAAAGTGTGATGTTACAGCGATTTCAGCACCAAAAATTGCCCCAATTTTGGATATTTTGCTGTCGCAAATGTTCTGTTCTTTGGAGATATGTTGTATCAGTGCACAAACTTTTCTCACAGACGTTTTCAATGAGCAAATTATTGGGTTCACAATTTGAACAGAAAACCCCTTAACTGAACAGTGTCTTCCTGGAATGACATCACAGCAACAGCACCCTCAGTTGACCGGAAAAAAACGTAGAACATTTTAAATGTTTAAACAAGTGCACTTTTCAATAAACTTAACCTAAAACTGTCAAATAGTTTTCATATATTTCAGAGTAGAAAGTTGAACAAAATATCTTCCTAAGAAAAATTCATTTCACGGACCCTAAAATATTTATCCATTACAAAAGCTATTAGCTATGTGCTGTGATATCTGGAATTAAAATCTACTCTTGTTTCTCAGACCAAAGTTAAAGTTATTTATTTCCTCCCTAAAACAGAATGGAGATTTGGACTGATACACTGCATCTGCTGCGCAACTCACTCAAATTTATTTCCAGCGATTGTTAAAGCCAAGCTAAGTTATGATGACATAGGTAAACTGTTACAATTTAAGTACCACATTGATGGACTCCCTAGGTTCGTAAAATTTCAGCACTTGGTCAAGGATACCACATGGGTTAAATATATGTACAAAGATAAAAGTTACATTTGAAAATACAGAATGGAATGAGTTATTGGAATAGAATAAGTATGTTTGACATTTATGTACATGTGTACATGTATTCCCTTGAAATATTAAGAATGCAATGGAACCAGAAACTATCTGTGGGCGTTCTGGCCAAATGTGACAGAACTGGGCAGAAGTCAAAATTAGGATTTGCGGATACATGTATTAGGAAAGAGAATAACATTCTCCTAGCAATAATGTTTGTTGCACTTCACTGAATCAGACATTCTGTTGACAAGTTACGGCTGTTTAAAATTTGCATTTATCGACAGGTCAAAAAGTAAAATACTGAGAAAAAAAGGCCTTTATAGTTTTGAGTGTTTGTAGTCATGAAAATGAAGGATGCCAAATTCTTTTTCCTTAGAAATACTATTATTCCACTAATTTAATACTATTTATTTAAAACGTGTCATAGACATAACAAAGATGACAAATACCAATACTCTGAAAATTGAAAAAAGTTCACCTCCATTTCGGAGGTGAACAAGTTTCAAAAGTTATGGCAACGGAAAATACAAAGATGTTAATTGGTGTGATTTCGCATGAGCTACCATTCAAAATATTGCAAGAAAAAAAATCAAATTGTTATGCTTGAAAGACAAGAAAATGCAAAGTTATTAAAACTTTAAGAAAACACTGCTAAAAAATGTAGTTAAAATTTGATTATTTCAGTATTCAGTTGTCTCTCTCTACTGATCCTTCGACCATATAATAATGCACATTTTAAACTAGTCTAATTTTTTTTTTTTAAATATCTTGTAAGTTTAAACCAAACCGCACTGAATCTGTGTAACATAAATTCACAGCAACTTAAGAGGCAAGTTCAAATAAATTCTAGTTCCCTCACAACCTTGGACAGGGGAGTTGTATAGTAACGAGCGAAGGAATACATCTGTGGCAAGTACTCCTATGGAATGCTACAATAATAATATATAAAGTTTGCTTCAAGCTAGCTACTTTTTAAATATAAATCTTGATTAAATATTTTACACATCGCCATATTCTTCAAGAAGAAAATAAAAAAGTTCATATTTTGTTTAACAATGGTCAACACCGGCTTTTGAAGTGATTAAACGTGTATTTCATAGGCGTTGTACTGGGAAGGCTACAGCTCCTACCCAACTCTTGGTTTTAGCCGAGACTGTTTTACAGTAACCACAGATAAAACCCAATGCTCAAGCCTGTGGGGCTCTGATTGCAAGAAAGTACCTGGAGTTTATTTGTCTTCTTTTGATAAATAGCAAGGTTGCAAAGGACGGGTGGTCAAGGAAGCTGAGCAAAAACAAGTTACCCGTCAAAACTTCGCAAGACAAATATCAGTGGCGACTGGTTCTCGTCTGTTATTTGGCTTAGTACACAAATTTGGTGAGCAATATACTCAACCGATTGTAATCCATACAGCCCTTTTTCAGTATTTCGTTCAATTTCAAGGCAAGTTACAACACACGACATCAAGAACAAAAATACAAATTTTTATGAAATACCTTGGTCTAACTCCATTAGTCAATTATTTTTGGTCAAATATTTTTGTTCAATTTTGGGGGACAGACAGACCGACAGATGGACCGACCGACCGACCACTAAGTGACATGCCGAAGCTCCTGCCACAGCTTAAAAAAACTGCAAATTAAAAATGGAATAGTACTTTTGCAGAAAATACAACAGGGTTCTATTTAGTTACACACATTGATCTACCACTATTTTCACTGTCTAAACATGATTCACATCCGAGTACAAGAAAAAAATCCGTCTCGCGTTTTACAACCGAATGGAATGGCATACGCCTAGATTAGTTAGTCCTACTCTTTACATGTGACGACTTTTATTTGTTTCTTGACCTCTGACCTCAGCAGATGATGCAGCGAGGCCACTCAAAGGTGTCAGGTTTGTCTGTGAAGTCAAAAAAGGAGCAAAACGTTGTGAGTAAATACTATTGGAATAATCCCTTAATAATGAAAACATTATATTTGTGTAGTTTGTGCTACTGGGGAAGTCTGGAATTAGGGGAGGGGGGAGGGGGAAATGAGGGATACAAGTGTCCCCCTAGCCCTCCCCAAAACCAACTAGTCCTAAGCTGCGTCTGAATTGTTCGGCTACGGCTCATGAGGCCACTTCCCATAGGCAAGTGTGTTACCCCTACCCATAGCCATGCCATTCAGCCCCAGCCTCACCTTCGGGTGCAGGGGGTGGGAAGTGGACCACTATGTCCCCCATTTCCATCTTGACGGAGACCCCAGACACGGTGGTGATGGTGGAGTCTGTCTCCTCGTCTGGGTCCCGGGAGGCCCGTGGCTTCTTCTCTCGTTTCTTGGAGCTTCTTAGCTGTGCATCTTGAGCAGACACTGTTGAGAGATGCCATGGGATTTGCACCCCAACAAAAATGTGATTTCAGGATTAGAAACGAGAATCTTCTACTAATGAGAGAACGATACAAGGGGCAGGATTACTTGCTTCAGGCTCCGTATAAATCCCACAAAGTTACAATGCACAAGACTTTCAAGAGGATTCTTCACAGTAAAAAAGTACTAAAAGTTTGTGGGAATCATTTAGAAAGCAAAATATGACAGGTATTTTCAGCTCATAACACAGTAGAAAACTAAATGGTGGGTATTAGGCTTCTGAAATTGCCACAATGGCCCCTCCCTGTTTGTCAATCAAGCAGTGCACGTTGACCAATAAGATCACAACCACTGGTCAGGTTACCCCAGTAGCTCAGTCAAACTCGGTTTGAAAATTAGGTGGGCGGGGCTTATGGTGGGCGGGGCTTTTGGTGGGCGAGCTTATATTGGAAGGGGCTTATGGTGGGTGGGGTTTATGGCAAAAGTCAGGAACAGTCCATAGGAGGATGCCGTTTGGTTTGAGTAAGTTCTTTCTTCCGATCTTCAAATCAGCAATACTTACAAGCTTGCACAGGCAAGCCATCCGCCCTGTCCTCTGCAATACCAGAGGAATCCGTGCTGGAGATAGACCCTCGCTTTCTTTTCTGAATCGATTCAGAGGCTGCAAGGAGAACAGGCGAAAAGGACATGAGGAAATGCTGTACAAAAACTTTCAAGGTCGTCAACAGAATAGCCATTCTGCAAAACCCCGAGAAATTTTACTTTATTTTGAAGTCAAACATATGTACAAAATCAATGTCAGCATGGTATCGTGTCATCCTGTTAGCTGTATGAGTGCTACTACATGGTGAACGATTCTTTCCAACTTTCGAGGCTAAGGCCTCGGCGATATCTGTTTGAACAACTTAACATCTTACACGATGAGGTGCTTGACTCTGTCTCGCTATGGTCGGGAGCTTCTAGCTTCGGCTTATGCTGGTTGGACGGCTTCTCTGCCTCCTACATCAATAAACAAAAAACACAAATCAAGAATAATCAAACTCAAAAACACAAATAATAATTTGCTAAAAAAGAAACAAGTCAAGGATTGCAGAAATGAGTACTAAGAACTCATCCAATCAGCGAGTAATTCCTCTCAATAAATGTCAACGAAATTAAAGTCTACTCAACCAGTTTGCATCCCTTTAACAACAACCCAAATTTTCTGATGAATTTGTCTGACCCTGAAGCGCTTCTTGTAAACCGACAGAGCAGCATCCTTGCCAAGCGTCGTCATTAAGAACTCGATCTTGTTCTTCAATCTCGGCCAGTCCACGCTGTGAGCCATCCCTTTCCTCCACAATTCTTCCTCCATCAACAAGGCCTCGTCCAGGTACTTGCGCGCCTCCTTGTAGTTGCGGTTGGTCAGGTTGAGCGAGCCAACGAAGTAGATGCTCCTCGCCGTGGCAGGGTGGGTTTCCAGGAGTCGCTTGCGTCCCTCCATGGCCTTCTTAGCGATGGGGATCGCATCATCGTACCTGTTGAGGATAGAAAAGAATGATATTTTAACCTGCAAAATACCCTTTTTGGGGGGGCTCTGTCGATGTCATATCAGTAAACCTGAACTCTCTGGTGATTTTTTTTTTTTTTTGGCTTCCCGAACTCTCAGTAATCCTCCACTGTACAGAATATGAGTGCACTGAGTGCATTTCTTTCTTATTTTTATTTCTTACTTTGACTCTCATTTTGTGTAAAAAGAAATATTGGTCGAGTCGTACCAGCCTCAATTGTGCAAAATCTTCTCAAATAAACAGATAGACTTATAAGGAGTTTTGTGTCTAATATGGGCATTTAGATGCGTCTAAGAGGCATTTAATTTGTTTGATCTAGACGCAAACATCCTTGCATCGACTTGCCACATTAAATAGGCCATTGAATTCCTGTCTACAACGTGACTCTCGTGATTTGTTCAAATGCCCGATTGGATAAGACACAACATGCATATTTCAAAGAGTGGGCTATCGAGAAGAAAATATTACTTTTCCATCTCGTAGTAGCTCATGGCGATGTTCTTGAGGGAGGTGCAGGTCTTATCTGTCCCATCCATTCCCAGCATTCTCTCCTCCTTCAAGGCCTGTTGGTAGATCTCAACAGCTTTCTCATATTGCTCCATGTCATGGAGGCAAGTACCTACATTAAAAAAAAAACATGACAAGAATGCAGATTGTACCGTTTAACTCTGAACTCCAAATGTTATTTTTGCTTAGAACTTTAAAATTGAGTACTTGCATTTAGCTGGATTGGGATTTACCTTCCTTAAAGCTGAAAAAATTGCCCCAAAACCTCAGAATGGAGTTTTAAAGATATGGGGAGGGTAAGGGTTGATAGTTTAATCTTCACTTTCTAAAAAATTCAAGAATGAAGTGTTGGTTAGAATACAGTCATGACAGTGAAGAAAGATCATTAAAAAACCCACAAAAATGCAATGCTTATTACTGGATGTGTGCTTTCATTGAAAAAGAAAACCTTAACAAGACTGATTACAAATTCAACGGATCAGATGACAGTTAAATATCCCTCACCCAAGTTCATGAGGAAAGTCGGTCCCTCAATGTGCAGTCTGTCTGGTCCCGCCGTCTTCTTGCAGATATCCAGAGCCTTCCGGTAACATTCCATCGCCTTCTCTTTCTCACTCTTGATAAACGCCGGAGACAGGCCCGGGTCGATCAACGCCTTGTCCTGGAGTGCTGCTCCCAGGGAGTTGTAGGTCCTAGCCGTCAGCAAGTGCTCCCCGAGGTAATGCTTGCGGATGTCTAGTGCCTTCTGGATCTGTGGGATGGCCTGCTTCCAGTCTCGGTCATTGAGGTACACGTCGCCCCGGAAGTGGTAACATGTTGCCAGGCTGAGCTGGATGCTGATCGGCTGTATCTCCTTGTCCAGTTTCTCAAGTTCGTCTTCGGCTTCTTGGAGCATGGGAAGGAGGGTGTCTGACTTGTGCCCAATCTCACTCAGCTGGTACACCTGAGGATGGTTTTGAACAGGGTTGTTACCCAGGCATCACAAGATGATCAAAAGTCAAATGCAAGTCAAATTACACTTCAGCTCACAAGTAATAATAATAATAATAATAATAGTGGGTATTTATAAAGCGCACGTATCCACCAGGACTGGTGCTCAAGGCGCTACATCATTATAAGGGGATGAACAATGACTAACGTCTTACTACTCAACCACCGAGCTTGCCAAGGTCGGCTGGCTGGCTGGCTCGAATCATCATATACATGTAACAGCAGCTGGCTAATGATGAGTATTTTCGTGTAACAAGACCAGTCTCAGATCTCACCTCATAGCATCTACTCTCTGCGTACACCTGCATTTGGCCGCACTCCTTGGCAGACTCGGCACGCTCGCGGTAGAACTTAAGACGCTCGTTGGTGAAGAGAAGCATCTCCACCACAATGTACATCCAGAAGATGGTGTCTGGGTTGTGGTACTCTTTGGATGACTTGATGATGTGCAGAGCCTAGTAGAAAGAAAACAAAGTCTCAGATCAGTTCTTAACTTTATTTATATAGGAGGTACAAAACATCCTAATTAAGTCAAATGACTAACAATAGTCACTTAAAAAGACAAAACTGTCCAGTTCACGTCAGTCGTGTCAGTGTTTCAACAAAATTTAAATGAACTCTAAAGACTTTTAAAATTTCTTCAAGTATTTACTGGAGTAGCATTAAGCAAATCATTCATTATGACTTCAAGACTGTGTTGAGCAGTTCATGAACAGGCTAGCTTGAATGATTATTTGTTTGAAATTCAACTCTTTATATAAAGTTCCTACTAATGTCCTACTTTGAGATAGTTGGCAGCATCATCCTGCAGACGAGCCATGGCAACCATTGCCTTGACTTGAAGCATCTTAGCAATCTTCTTCATCCTCTTACTGAAGTAGTCAACAAACTTTGCCTCGGCTTCCTTGAAGATTCCCTGCATTTCGTCCTCTGATTCCCGAGCCATCTGCTCCACGAAGGATCTGAGGAGAAGATGCAAGGAGTATCTGGTGCCGCCCTCTTTCTTGGATCGGCTCTTTGAAAAGGCTCCGCCTGCTTCTTCATCATCATCTTCTTGCTTGCTCTCCAGGAGGCTCCGATATTTCAAGGCCTGGAGGTCTAGCTGCAGTTCCATCTGGCGCTTACGAGGATAGCCTAGAATTACCCGGGCAACCTCTAAAGTGAAGGATCCAGGGATGACTGACAGCTTGACAAGATTCCGTCGATGGGCTTGCGGGAGGGAATCGATGGATGTCTTCAGACACGGGCCGATCTGGTCGCTCAGTGCCAGCCCAAGATGGCTCAAGGCCCGGGTGATGCGAAGGGCTTGCTGCCCTGATCCTGCAGACAAGTACTGGATCAGATCCTTGGGCTTGACCGTCTGGTCTTGGAGGCGGCTTGCAACCACTTTGAGAGCTAAGGGGTTCTTGCCGCAGAAGCGAACCAACTCCTCAGCTTCTTTGTCATCTGTGGTGCATTAATAAAAAATAAAGGAAAAAAAGTTTGAATAAGTACATTTCTCGAGTTTTAAGCTCCATCCCACTAATAAAGTCATGTTCATTCACAAAAAAAAGGTACATCAAAGAGTCTAGATAAAATTCCAGGGAGAACGGTATGACCGTAGTAGAGTGACAATAATTGACATCTTACTGAGTTGCGCTTTGCCAGCATGGTACTTGACCATCTCCACAGCGCTCTCCATGGCCAGTTCGTGATCGCCCTCCAGTCGCCAGTAATCAAAAGACCGCTTCTTGATTCCCAGGTTCTCCACGCCGTAACGTGACGTGACGAGCAGCTTCAGTCTGTTGTTGGGTAGGTTGGTGATGTTCTCCAGCATGTCCACGAAGGCGTTGTAGGTCGGGTTGGGACGGCCAGCCGACCCTTGGTCAAGGGGGTGGTCGGTGCTGTCCAAGACCAACACGGCGCCACCTAGGGATTGAAAATCACTCTTTGTTTAAATAGTAAAATTTCAAGTGACTTAACAATAATGTATGATGATTCCTTCACGCGCATTGTGTTTTTAATTTAAAAGTCATTCACGTACATGTAGCATACATGCATCATTAGCTTTTATTTAACAACTTAAGCGCACTTAATGCAAATTTCTGTTTCATTTTTGCTTATGAAATTTACTTTGAGTTATGAGAACTTTTTCGCCACAAACTTCAATGAGACAACTTAAAATGGCTAAATCTGAGCAAGGTCTTGCAAATTTTTCTTGCGTTTTCATATTAATTTTTTTTTTTTTTTAAATTCATCCAAATTTTCATCAGTCATCCAACAACTTGTAGGTAATCTAGCAAGGAACAGCATGTGCATTATCAAGGTTAAGGCTTCTCACTAGACCCGCGACGTACATGACGCAAGACATAACACTTCGTTTACATATATATGCGCTTTCTTAAAGGAGCTTGGTCCCATAGGAACGTGCACATGTAAACAGAGCATGACGATATTATGTCTTGCGGTTAATATTGTTACTCTCACAGTGAGCGTATTTTTCTTACCATGTTGTCGGGGGTCGTAGGACCTGAAACAGCTGTACATGACCTGTGGTTCGTAATCTCGACACTCCACTCCGAATGCATGCATGATGGCGAAGAAGATTGCCTCAATGGTCTCCAACTCCCGCAGGTCCACGAAGATCATCTTGTGGAACTGCCGCAGACGAAAGCAGGCTTCCTTGGCTAGTCTTGTCTTGCCGGTCCCCGACATGCCGCTAATGCAGGCCAGATGGACATGATCATGGGTGTCGTCGTCCAGAACGCTAACGATCTCATCCATGATGTCAGCATGGCCGAAGTAGGGTCCATCTACCGAGGAAGCCTTCAGCTGCAGCTTCCTAGAGACCACCTGTCGCTCCCGCTCGTACTCATTCAGGGCTTCTAAGATGTCGTGCCGCTCCAGCTTTGTAAGACACATTCGGAGGAGCTCCGTGTCTCCCTCATGGATCTGATTCTCTCTTTCTAATGCCTCCAGTAGCTTCAGGCCATCGTTTTGGATGGCTTCGTACTCAGGACCTAGCTGATTGCGGAGCAGCATCTTGGCTTTCTGGACGTCCTCGCCGACCAGCATGTCGGACATCCAGACCAAGAGCCAACGGAAGCGAAAGCGGGTGAGGTCCGAGTCATCCATCTTGATGATGACCTCAGAGTAGACTGCTGGAGCCTTTGTACTGATATTGAGCCCTGCGAACAATTACATAAAAATTAACAATGCAGGTAAACATGTTAAAACACACACACGCACACTTTGAAGAAACTCACTTCATGATTTATTAAATGATTTGTCAGGTTTGTAGATCAATTTGTACATTATTCCATGAATTTCTTCCTCCATAAGCATGGTTATCCTACTATTAAGTACTAATCACCCGGGCATGCCCGGTTCCATTACATTACAATTTCCCCCCCCTCCCCCCCCCCCCCCAAATGCATGAAAAAACGTACATGATGAAAACGAGGCCCACAATCGCCAATTCGGCCCATATTTTGTTTACATAGTGTCTGGCTATGCCACACCCCACTGCACACGCACGTAAACCATCATATGTAAACAGAAGTCAAGTCGCAGTGCACCTAGCCCAGGTTGTGTAGTGTTAGTGGGAAAGATTTCCATATACATGTACGAAGTTCACTAATTTTCCTCTGTAATTCATTGACTAACAAGCCCCTATAGCAATTTCATGTCATCAAAGTCAATTTGAGCAGTGAGAAAATACAAGCATTTTCTTAGAAAACACTTAGAATTTTTCAGTCCACTCTCATAGGGTTTGTACACAGGGTATTGAGTGAACTTCGTATATGGAAATCTTTCCGTGTTTTTTAGTGTACGCAAGCATGGCAAGGGAATGCAACGGTCGTCCAACCTGGGCCGGCTAGCAGCGCACCAGTGACTGAGTGATAGACTAGTGCACCACGCACCGTCCACATGTCACAATGTCAATAAAATACATACATATTCTAAACAAAATTAGTCAGTTTAAACCCTTTTTTTTAATCTACAAGCTTTTCACTATCAAATTCAACCAATGACTCTATTAATTGTCACGAAATTATCCAGAAAAAAATAATTTAGGAGGCTTACCCTTTTTCGAGTGCCAGTCGTCACCGTGAGTCTGGTTCCCTGATCGATCCGCCCAATGTCCACGCCACGGGCGCAATGGCAGTATTCCAGACTATCCTTTTTTACACAAAAATCAAGGCGTGGCACAACCAGTGCCCCCCCCCCCGCCCCTTTCCTTCTCATTTTGCCTTTTTTTTATTTTGATTTGATAATTCCATCATGATCCTTTTTTCCTTCTTTTTTTAATGTTGCAGCCTGACGCCACTTTTTTCATCATTGCAATATTAAAAAAGACACGAATCAGGCTGACAAACATTTCCAAGAGTCAGCTCCTTTGACGCCACTGCACACTTCAGTAGCGCTAGCGTAGTGTTCTTTTAGTTTTAGGCAAAATAAAACTACAAAAAAAAAACATGTTTAGCGCCTGCTTTCTTTTTGGAGGCCGCCTAGCCTCCTTTTTTTAACAAAAAAATGATAAATTTTCAACAGTGACATCATTTTGGCCTCATTAACCGTCGCATCTAGCCATTGATATACCAATGGAGATCAATGCATCTAGCCCATATAAAGCTGTTATGTCATTTCCTGAGTAAAAAAAACAAAACTGGTTGGCCATCTTGAAAAATAGCCCGGTCGGGCGGCCATTTTGGAGGAGGACAAAAGGCCTCCCGTTTCTCTCTTTTTTTCTAAAAGGCAGGACGCTAAAAAAAAATTGGTGGCATTATTTCGCCTAATTATGTTTTTACTATTTTTCTCTTTTTTCCTTTTAATTGTTGTATTTCTTGTAGGGCTATTGATTAGTTCATGAATAAAGTTCATTCTGTCGTCGCCCTTTTTGTGACTCTCGCTCAAAACTATAAATTAAGTTACTGCCTTGCCTTGCTCTAATGATTTGGTAAAAATGCAGTCAAAATTACATAAATGACTTTTTAAATGCACAAAACAGTTGAATACGCTGCATGCAGTGCTTATACAAACTGCAGTGGTTTAAAAAAACAAAAAAACATGTAGGCCTAATTTTCACTTGTTTAAGACAAGCGGGCGTTTGCAGTATATGCATGCGTATGGTGCCAATGTACACAATTTTTCGTCTGCTCATCTTTTTTTGCCAGACTCCTTTGTCCAATCGAATTGGCTGGATTGACGAGTGATGTCACCCCACATACTTCTGGCCAATGAGAGACAGGCCACGCGAGCCACGCGTGCTACGTCACGGATATTTCCTCGAAGGCCCTCCCGTCTTAAACAAAATAGGGCATTTTTTATTATGAAATTGATGCTACTCAATCTAGAAATGAAAACTATTACTTTTAATTTCCTTCTTTTTCTTTGATTTATAATTTCCATTCACGATGAATATTTTGGCATTTTGTTTAAATATGTCTAAGGGGAGAAAATTAGTACGCGGAGAAATACACGCCGAGTGCCTTGGCCCAAGGCAGCGCATAGCTGGCGCGGACAACAGCGTGCGATATAAAAATGACACTTTTCACCGCCATATCATTACGCTATGGAAAATGACCGAGAGCGGAGCTGGGTCAACGGACACTGGGCAGCTCGCAATGTCTTCCCGCTATTTTTGGTCATTCATCACCCAAAAATCCTCAAACTTCACCAGCAAAGTTTGAGACCTTAACCACCGAGTCAACCCGTCCAGCTTCAAGCCACCAACGCCGAAACTCGTACATCATACCCTGGAGTCTCTTTATGTGCGCGAAAATGTCGAATTTGGACGCGTGGAGTCTGGCAAGTTGACCAGAAAGTCGTGCTCATGTACGGGGCAAGTGCTACACTTTGACGCCGTAATGTTGCGGCGTCGTTGTCACCAACACTGAAAAACTGACTTGAACTTTGCTGTAGGCCTACAGAACTTGTCATAAAAAAAACTTGTTTTGCAGAACTGAACTGGACTTGCATTCCTATGCTTTGAACGCTCATTTTGTGAACTGAACTAAATGGACATAAGCCTATGAAATGTTTGTGAACTCATAATTTTGTCGAATGATCTGAATGACGTTTTTGGAAAATACTGAAGTCCAGCTTTTGGAGTTCGTCGGGGTAAGTTCAACTTTAAATAAGGAAATATCGAGGTGAGTGAAAATCTATCTTCTCCGGTCACACGGAACGAAAGACAAATAAGTCTCATTGAATATTCTGCATTTTGAGCAATGGTACGTAAAATATAAATAATGCCTGAAATGTCAATCCTGTCTGCATTTTAAACATTCATTCGAAGTATTACTATAGTACTATATTGGTCCTTATATCGCATTTCTTATGGTATCTACAATAAGCACGAGGTAGTGCATTTTGTGTGCATGAGGTTGTCTTTTTCACGGTTGAATTTTGTACGATAAAAGTCTGTAAATTTTCTCTTAAAATCTCTAATTTAATTACCTAAATTTCATAATAAGCATGATACATGTGTGTTGTTGCCAACAAAATGGCGTCTATTTTGATTCTCCTACAAGGGTTTGCCTTTTGCATAGCTGAATGTCTCGGTACGTTGAAATTCCATTCCTTTAGGCGAAAGCCCTTTTGATTTAGAGTAATTTGCATATGAATACTTGCCAACGTGTTTGTCAAAAATTCATAGAGCCGCCTTTTCATGACATGCCTTTTGGTGCATTGCGCATTTTTACACGGGTTTCATTGTGAGCTAGCGGGGCGAGTCATACACGTGAGCCGCTCGTGGCAGGCGCAGTGGGCGTGGTCATACAGATTCATGGCGATCTTATTGGTCAAAAAGTTGAAAGGACGCGCGCGCGGTATGCGGCCAGGTGCACCGTATTTGCTACACTTTCAAAGACATTCCAGCGAGGGCTTTTAGGGATTTACTTGAAAGTTGGAGTAAACAGGTTTAGATTTTCATTAGAGAGGGAGGTTCCTTGGAATTTAGTTTGCATTTGCCGTTATAATTGTATAAAATGACTGGTTTAAAGACTTACTTCTGAGAAGAAAAAGTTTCGAGCTTTTATTTAATTATTTAAAGACGAGCCATGAAATCGAGGAGTTGACAACGGAGCCAACGGATTTTTAAAACTGAATTTATTTAATGCAACCACATCATTTAGAGTATTAAAGGGCGACGTTCCAATGGACCAAATTAATTGTATGGACATTGTATCCACGGATCTCGTTTTTTATAAATTGCTGAAAATATACTTTACACCATTAGCTTTATTAGGGTATTTCTGGTATATTATTTTGATTATGATTGTATAAACTTAGATTTTAAAAGTTAGCCGACGGAATTATTGGAAGCTCATACGAATTGAAGAAGACCCGTTGTGGAGGACAATGATGACCATAATTCGACGTTTGGAAGAAGGCAAATAAGGCAAAGTTATGATTGTATTAAATAAATGGATACGATTAAGGTTAAGGTTTAGGATTAAGGCGGGTTGGGTGGGGGTATAGGCACATGGCGCGCGTAGGCAGCCAAGCACACCAGCAGCAGCGTAAGGGGAGCGTGACCTGGCACAGCCATGGTGTAAAAATTTACTTACAAAAATATTTTAACAAAACAAACAATTACAAGTTTAAAAGACTTTTTCTAGTCGGATTAAAAAATCAGCAGGCAAATCTTAGCTTGATGCTCAAACAAAAATAATCAACGGTAGTCAATTAAATCGTATCATGGTAGTGTATTCCAATGGAAAAAAATAGGATTCTTTTTTTTATATCAAATTACAGAGCTCTAAGGTTACATGGGTCGGCATCCGTCATCTATAAAATAGGAGGATATTTTGGGGTAGTTTTTCGCTATGATATAATTGTACTTGTGATATCGTCTTCCCGAGAAAGTGTTCACGGGTTGGCGATAATCTTTTATAGGGTGAGATATCGTCTTCCCGAGATAATGTAACATCACGGGTCGGTGATATCTTTTAGGGTGAGATGTTGTTTTCTTGAGAAAACAATAATTTCTCAGGTCGATGATATTTTGTAGGTGATATATCCTCTTCCCGAGAAAGATAATATTTCTCGGGTTGAAGATATTCCTTTTAGGTGAGATGTCGTCTTCTCGAGAAAAGATATTTCTCGGGTCGGTGATATCTTGTTTAGGTGATATCCTCTTCCCAAGAAAGAAAATATTTCTCGGGTTGAAGATTTCTTTTAGGTGGGATATCATCTTTTCG